TAGAACGTGCATTAAAGTTGTTGTGACGACGTGCTAAGAAGAACGCAGCGCGTGCAGCGTTCGTTGTTCGACAGATTGGCGTTTTACGAGGGCTTGTGTGTGTGTGTGTGTTGGGGGGGGGGATATGTATCCTTCTTAAGGAGAGTGTGTCATTTTTGAAGAATGTAACGAACCAGCTGATATCTCATTTTTGGCTCCGACGGGTGTGTGCCCGTACTGCGCATGCGCATCTACAATAGCATTTCTGTTCGTCCACATATTGTGTGTGTATATACAAACATATATGTTTCATATTACCTTATAGGCACCTCTTTGTTAAGAAAAACCCTTCGACTGAGTTAATTTGCTGAAAATGTTTTTTTTTATAATTTAATATTTCTTGTTGTACCTTTGTACCCTGCTACCTTTGTACTGAAAGTCCACTGAAATACTTAAAAATATCATCTCAAACTTTTTTTTTTTGCGTGCAGTCAAACTGGTCATGGCAAGTGAAGCCTGGCTGGACTCATCCCTGAAGCGCTCGGCCAGGCTGGGCCTGGAGGTGCTGGAGCGGGCGTCCAGACGGACTGTGGTCTGGACAGACACCAGCACGCCCCAGACCCCCATCCCATCTGATGAAGGCGCTCAGGTAACCGTCAAACTCTGTTCATATGTATTCCTGTCAAGGATAGCGGATTCTCTTAAGCGAGCCTGACTTTTCTGCTTATATTCTCTTAACTGTGGTCACTTCCTCAGAGAACCCACTCAGAGCTCAGTGATGCCTTTACAGCCATTGCAGAGTTAATGGCGCAGACCACCCATCACTGCAAGGTAGGTGGAAATATCTGTCTCCCTCCTTCTGTCCAGCTCTGAGTGGGCCCAGAAACAGGCTAAAATATGGATATTGTGTCTCTGGATCAGAGGTTTTATGAGTCTGGCTGCTGCTCTGAGCCCAGTGACATCGAGAGGACCCACGTGTCCCGGTTCCACGTGAGTCCAGAAGCCCAGAGGACCAGATCCCCTTCAACGGGGAATCAAGAAAATACAGAAAAGACAGAGAAAGTAAGCATTTAAATGTTTTTTTATGTACTTATTTAAGTCACATATCTTGGAAATGTGTATGTCTTTTAGTCTTTGATTATTTGTTACAAATAGAATACTTTTTAAACCTCCACTTTTAGCAGTTTGGACGTAAAATAAAAAGCTAAACAAAACAGAAACATTGGGTTTATTATTTTAAGTGGGAATGTTTTCAATAAAAGCAACCCCCTCTGTTTCAGACTTTTATCCACCACCATATTCATCAAAGCTGCATTAAATTTAGTTTTGATTAAAATGGGATCATGTGATTCTTTGGATGAGTGTGTTTACGTGAGAATCTCATTTAGATCTTTGTCCCCAGAGCTGCGTTTCTGCAACGGGGGAAGAGTTTTACATCGAGGTGTCGCCCGGAACCTACAAGATCACTGCCAGCGTGCCCGATTCCCAGCAGCAGACCCAGCTGGTCACCATAGAAGCCGGTGAGAGTGTCAACCTCATCTTTGACCTCTGACCCCTCACGTGACCAAAAGGGGAATGAAAAACACATTCTCCAAAGCTTCAATTACAGAACTACTGACCAGTATCAATGCTTCCTGTGTTTCTTGCCTATTTTTACATGTACCTAAAGTTTATTTTTGCTATTAAACCTAAAATGTCGCCCATTTAAAAGCCATATTTTCATTTTTTTTTTATCCTTATTCAATTTGCTTGTCATAATTTTGCACATCATCATGTAATGCACATAAGATTGTTTTTTATTTGCACTTATAGCGCAAAAGTGTGTTGAAATAAAGTGATTTTTTTCAATGAAATATCTCCATGTGTTTCATAAATGATTGTAAACTTATGCCTTCTAATACTGGACTGATGTCTTGAGCTATACACAAACAATCAACTGCAAATACAGAACAGCTGCCCTCATTTCTTAATATTTAGCTTCCAGCAGCCTATACGGTCTTATAATCCTCTGGAATGGTCATTAGCAATAGTCTGGATTTATGGAAAATCAGAAGGTCTTTTTTTTTTAATTGCCTGTTTTTTTCCTCACTTACTTTGAGTCAAATCCTTGTACCCGATCATTTTTCAGAGGTACGCTTTTAGTTTGCTATGCTACTTGACACTGACCTGTGAATAATTCATGTGTTCCAAAAGAACAAGCGTCAACTCTTGTGTCAACATATAACAACCACATTAGTGAGAACCAGCTTTAAATAGCATTTTTAGGTTTTTTTATGTCATCAGCCACTATTAATTTCCTTTTGCGTACTTACAATAAAAAAAAAAGCTTTTTCTAAACAACAGCTTGCTAAAATCTAAAAGCATAATACCTAGCATATTTCAGCATGGTGAGCAATTTGCCTTAAATAAACTTTAGGTATCTTTAAAGGAAAGGAAAAAATGAAGGATAAAAGAAGTCCCAAGGCTAAAAGAAAAGGTAAACGGCAAATGAGCAGCATCTGAAAAAAAAATCCATCAAACACCAGAGACGACCTGAGATACTGAATCCATCTAGAGTTCAGTGAAGCCTTTAAGAACTGGCCTCTGCTGAGGGGTGGCTGGGATAAAGTCATTTTTCAGGGAAGCAAACGTTTTTTTAAAAAGCACAAGCTATACCAAATGACACAAGACACAAGTAACTCTGTGGTCATCTTACAATTCTCATAGCAATTCAGAGAAGGAAATGTTGAAGTTTCTTTTAAAGTTTCCTGTTCATGACCCTAGTTGACATTTGGAAAGCTCAATCAGCTGCTGTAATATCTAACTTAAAAAAATATATTTTCATTAAATAACAGGAACAGCTTAAATCCCACATTCAACTATCTTAAATAAGCCAAAATCCATTTGCATCTCAATGAAAATGTAACCATTTTTCGTCTGAATAAATAATTTAGCCAAAGTAAGAACCCCAGAGCTCTCCTTTGATGTTGATGAAATACTGTGACTAAACTTAGATATGAGTCAAAACTCAGCATATTTTTTCAGTAGAAACAGTCATGTCTCTTGTCAATGCATTCAGAAAATTAAAATTTATTTTTGAAAAAACTCTATTTAAACAGTTTAACTGAGCCAAACTACCTTTAGCTCACTTTATATCACAAGTGGCCACAGGCTGAAACAGTAATAGGAGTTTGAAATGGGAAAAAAGAAAGAAATAAAGCCAAGAATTAAAGACAGAGATCTTTTATTTGTATTTTTTAGACTCAGTGCTACAGTTTGGCTACAGTCAGGTGGTGAAACACCCACAGGTGTGGTTCTGTGAACATTTAAAGGCAGTGACCTCGATGCAAATACAGGTTTCTGACTAGAAAATACATTCACAACATTGTTAGAAAACAGCCTGGACAACAAGCCTGTGGTCAGGGGGCGACAACTCTATCGGACTCTGAAAGGCCAACCGCGCCAGCTAATGTTAAATTAGGGTGACCAAACGTCCTCTTTTGCCGGACTTTTTACATCCTGTCCGGGGGGGGGGATTATAAATTCATAAAAATGTTTTTTTTATGTTTTTCATGGGACCAGAATAGTCTGCTTAAATCGACTGGCGCTTTGCAACAGAATACTACAGTTACTTTGTTCCCCACACACACACACACACACACTCACACACACACACACACACACACACACACACCCACACACCCACACACACAGGTCTAATAAAGCGTGTTCCTAAAATAGGGGGAAACAAGTAGATGTTCGTCGTGTTTTGTTTGTATTTTTTTAAAGCTTTTTTAATGACAAACTGAATAATATTTATATTGCTTTTTTTCTGTGTTTGTGTGTGAGTAGATGTTTGTGTGTTTGTTAAACCACAAAGGTCAGAGGTCCGGGTCCCTATAATCAGAAAGGAGAGAAGAAAGAGAGAGAAGAAGCATCAGGGAGGAGGAGGTCGGTCTTTTTTTCAAGGATTTTGACGCAAAGATATGTCAACATTTGTGGATATTTTCAAGCATTCTGGGTCATTCTAAGCTCCCTGGCTCCATCTGCTGTGGAGAAAAACAAACTCTGCATGCATCATTGTCCTTCCAAACACCTCAAAGGCACACAGCTTTAAGGTTAAGAGCTGAGGCACTGTTGGCGGCTTCTGACAGAATAGCTTTTTATATTTTCATCCATTTTTTTGTACCAACATTTTGCTACTCAGCTTTCGGGATGGACCGACAGCCTACCAGAGGGACACAAAAAAGACAAACTAGATGCATGTTAGACACCTTTGTATGCTTGAAGGATGAATAGATTGGGAAGCTTAACAAGCTAAACATGATTTTTTAAATGAAAAAAGGTCAGATAAAAGGGCCAGTCTGGAATTTTATGGGGGAAAAAAACCCTATCATTGTCACAAAATGGAGGTTGTTTTTGAAGGTATCGTGAATTTATTTCCCAAAGTGGTTGTGGGATTTTTACGATTTGGTGTTTTACGGTTATTTTTTCTTTAATCCCTTCTTTTCCCAGCACTCTGCACCCCACACAAATTATAACAGGACAACGGTCCGAAGCATCAAGAGTCACAATTTGATGGAAACAAACTTAATGGTCCCACAACCTGAAAATAATTTCAACCTTTGGCAGGTCCTCAAAAAAACAAAAACAAATTAAAACTTCTAAAACATGAAAACACTTTCAGATAGTAATTGCAAATGTTTAGATTTTTTTTTTTAAAAAGGAGGGATCCATTTAAGTGAATATAGGCTAACTCATGAGAAGACAACTAAAGGGCTCTAAAGGGATTTTTACCTTCAGTTGAACGGCTTCTTGGTGAACGGAATCTGTTCCCTCACAGTTTTTCCAAACACCAACATCTGCTTCTCTGTATCAATGACACACTGTAATACAACAAAAATAATACAACTTTGACAGAGACACTGGAGCGTCTTGAGGTCATTGTTTGGAAAGTAAAAGCTTTACCTTGAGGGACTTTAACGTGTTACTGCCCAGGGACATGAGCGGCTTGGAACTTTCTGCAAACAAATGGAACTGTTGAACAGTTGTTCCAACACCAAGACACTTAAAAGTCTTTGTGGTCTCTGTGCACGTGAGGTGGATCACCCTCCTCCTGCTTACCCACTACTGCAAACGAGCAGGTCAGCCTGACCCGTCCGATGGTCAGGCCGAGCTCCTGGATGTGACCGCTGATGGGAAGGGGGCGCTGGAACGGAGATCCAGCCCTCTCCATTCTGCCCTCTCCGACCAGCTCCTTCAGACTTCCACGGGAAGAAAACCAGTCAAGTGTTTTCTGTTGTTTTTTTGTTTTTACAATTTCTCAGCGATAGCCCGTAATTTAGCTCACCCGAATCTCTCCACAGTCCGCCAGGACACCAGGTTCAGCCTGCAGCCAGTGTCGATCAGAACATTTACTTCCTGTCCGGAGCACTGAACGGACAGAAAGGAAATGTAGAAGGAGAAAATAATATGAAAAATGTCAAAGGTCAATATTCCATATTCCTGATGGCTTGATAACTGTAAATGCACCCCAATTTTTTTTTTTAAGCAACAGCTTCCACCCACTTTGCAGGCCACATAGATCAGGTCATCTTCCTCCCTCTCATCTTCATTTGGACTCAGAGGAACACAGGTCAGAAGCACCCCCCCTCCACCGTTTGCAGGGACACACATCCTCATCCTGCCCTGGGACAGCTGGCTCTCCAGCAGCCGCTTCTGCAGGATGGTGTGTGGCTGCTGCACAAATAAAAAATACATAAATACATTTAAATATCAAAGACAGAAATATTTAATACATTTTTTTAACATAAATATGTTAAATATGTTTTCGGAACCTATTGAACATGCCCCATTTCATCCAAATAAATGAATATATTTTTGAAGCAATTAATTTAAAAAAAATACAAAAGAGCCCCTTCGTTGGGGAATCACTTTTTGAACAGTTCATCCACCTAAAGAGTAATTTAGACCATTTTACCGCAAGATTACGTAACCCACTCATCAGAATAATGTTAACATGAAGCCCAGGTCAGCCAAGGGAATGGATGAGGTCATTAAATCAAATTTGATCCCGTTCGGATGCCAGGCGCGTGCGGGGGGGGGGGGGGGGGGGGCTCACCCCCTGTTTGGACGTCCCCAGCTTCTTGAGCCCGTCCAGCGGCAGCAGGTCTGCGGAGTCTCGGTGCAGGAACCGGATCGCCTGTTTCAGCCTGCGGGCGTCCAGAGCCTCCGGGCTGCCCCGGTCCTCCTGAGGCCGCATCCTGCCCGGCATGACCGCCTCAGTGCGCGCGCGTGTGAGCGTGTGCGCGTGTGTGAGAGACAGAGAGAGTTTGTCTCCTCCAGTTGATCTCCACCTCACTGCATCCCTGCTCCCTCACAGCCTGGAGGACAGTGTCAAGCCACACAGCTTAGAATGCGACTTCCGGCGGAAGTTTTGCCCGGGATTTTCATAATAAAGTCTCCAAGAAGGTGGAATATCTTTGAACGACTGAGTCTTTGTTTAGATAAACGATACATAAATGCCATGGATAAATATGTTGACATCAAACAAACAATCAAAACTGAAGCAATATGAATTGATTAAAGTTACCTGAGATCTAGAAACATGAAACAATGGTCAAAAAGGGAAATAAATCTACAGTTTTAAAGGTCCCATGTCATTCTCACTAAATAATCATGTGATGATTTAGTTGTCAGACTTATTCATTATTTACTCCCATACACTTTTATCCAATGCTATTTCAAATATTAAACTCATTTGGGGCAATGTGCATTCAAATGTCTTTGTAAAGAACTCTTTGACATGTAAACTGTGGGAGGGTGGGACACAATATTATTAAGGGGGAAACATCCACTCAAAGGTCTTGATGCTTATAAAAGACAGAATGTGACGTTTACTGTTCTGATGTGATCAGCAAAGTTCACTCCTCTGAAAGTGGCCACATCATTTTGGCTCGTGCATCTCTGACAAAAACAAGACAGTTGCATTTGGACAGCATCCAAACAGAGATATTGTCAGATTACGGTAGGAGTTGCTTCAACAGGGAAATATAATAAATCCCCCAAAAAGAATGTTCTGGATATTATGTCCAAAGCAGTTGGTGGTGTGGGGAATTTATCATTAATAGCTTTAGTGAAACCTTTTCTACAGATATGCCTGATGCATGGAATGCAGCAATATCCACATAAGTTTAACGCAGTCACTTTAATAACCAGTTAAATAAATAATTAACGTCTTCCACTTGCCAAAAGCTCTGTTTAACCAGTCAGATTGTGGATTGTCTGTTCCTGAGTGTTCTACCAACTCCTCAGACAGAATTTAGAAGCCAGAGAGGGCTCAAATGATTGAGCAGATAATTGTTCATGTAAGCTAGCAATGGCATATCTGGTCTTTGATTATTAAATAAACAGGGTTAGTTCTAATTATGTTATAGCTCAAACATCCCTTCAGCTTGTCTGAGGGGGAGTCCTGAGACAGTGGACTGGCACTTTCTTATCTGGAGGAGTCATGGCCGGAGATTTAAGCTGGTGAGTCAGTTGTACGGAGACGATGATGGGATGGAGAATTTTAATTATTCCCAGGAAACATTGGCAGTCCATCAAAAAAAAAAGAAAAAAAAAGCTTTTCTCATCACATTGCTCTCCCTTCCTGCATCGTAACTCCCTTTTGTTGCTTTGCTGTGGTTTGTTCTGAACTTTCTATACCCACTTCTGTGACACTCAAGTTAGAATATCCTGTTCTATGCTGTTCCAACCCTGTGTAGACAGAACTACTTGAGCTCTGTGTTTAGGCAGGAATTCTTGAATAGTCCGTACCATCTAATAGACACAAACACAGTATAGATATCAACCAGGTAAGAAAACAGCCCACGTTTATATGAAAAACAACAAACTCATACAATATCATGCATATCACAATTTGGATTAATATTCATTTACTTGTTTTAACTGTATTTTTCATCTTTTTTTTTAATACTCCATTTGCCTTTCACAGCAACAGGGCTTCTCAGCTGAATTTGAATTTTAGGAAACAGTCAGTATTTCTCCTGCAATAACTTTCCCAGAAAAAAGTTGGGATCTCTAATCGTCAAAGAGGCATTGAGAACATTTAATTCTCCAAGCATCAGACTTATACGAGAATCTGTCTGTGCAGTTTATGACATTCTGTGGTCACTTTTAGCCAAATTAAACTGACCTTAGTGAGGGGGAATTATTCAATTTCCCGCTGCCTTAAATCGTCTGAGAAGAGTCTCTCCTGAATGGATCCAGGGTTCCCATTCAGAAAAAGTCCACCAGCAAAAAGTAGTTAGCCCAATTCTTTTGCTGGAGGCCTGAGAATAAACCAGAGAAATAGTGCCAAATATGTAATTTATTCAGGACACAGGTGAAATAATGCCGCCCTGGGCTTAGACTGACAATCCTCCTTGAGGAACTCAATCCATAAAAGCCATGATTTCAGCGTGTGATGGACAGTTATCTTCTTGGCCTAAAATGGCTGGACATAACGCCTCGAGTCTCTTTGGCTAGTGACTTTATTCGTGCAGATTCCACTGAAATGTGATGAGAAACGTGTTCTATGTCCTTGTAGACGTTTATCTAATAATAGAGATTAAGGAGCAACCTGTGAGTACAATCAGAGAGGTTGCATGAGTTCAGGGGAATATAAAACTGAAACAAAACAATATGGGTTAATTGAATTCATTGAGAAAGTACAACTTTAAAGAAATCAAATCCAACAGTGTCATATTTCATATAATGGTTTACAGAATTAGTTTAGATGTTATTAATAATACCGTATAATATGTTTGATGTTGTTACGTGAAACCTAATTGTATTATATTAACTGTATTGTATAATATTTATTGCTCATCTCTTTTTGAAAAAGTGGCCAATTTTAAGGACTTGTGAAGAGATCTACAGTAAAAGTCTCCAGATGCTGCTAGTCCCTCCTAGCTCCACACCACTTTTAACAGAATATCATTTATGTTTCACTGTCTTATTATTAGTCTACAGGATATAAACATGTTTCAATAGCAGAAAAATTAACCGCTGCTTCACTGTATTCTGATTCATGGCATATGAAAGGCAAAAGGGAGAAAATATTGAGTTCTTTCAAGATCATATCCACACATTTTCTTTATTTTACATTGCTGGTGTGTGATATGGCGTCATGAAGCTTAACAGTATGGTTTGGAGCAACAAAGCAAAAATGGAAACTGTTGTATTGAAGCCACCAAGGTGCCTCAGGCCAGTTTTAGCTTTAGGAAGGTGTGCAATCTCAGAGGTGCATTTCATATAAGCGATCACAGCCTTTTCTTACAGAGACCCAAACGTGCTATAGGCATAAGAGGAGTGCATTATTCTGGTAAGTCTTATTTATCTAATACATCTCAAATTGTTGATGTAAATGAAGAACCCTCCTTCTACATACGTAAGTTAAACAGATCTTTAGGGCTTTATCTATCCTGCATTTTATCTAGCTAATGTTATAGGACAGCATAAATTTTAAATATGCTGGTGAAAATCATTCATTGCTTTCTTTGAATACAGATGAAACCAATCAGTTGGTTCAACTTCATAGTTTGTGGACCCAGCGTACAACAGCTTGGGAGTGAGTCTCATTATAATAAAAAAACAACAAACAAGAACAACAAAAGGTGCAGCAAAGCCAGATGACCAAAACCTAAACCTGAAGAAAAAAAAATACTTCAAGAAATATATAATATATATGGGCGAAAGAACAAAGGAGCCATTCAGAAAATGAAGGAACAACAGAGGAAAAACCAGGATACAACTAACAGACAGAAGAGAGGCGGATCTCACGAGGGACGCCAGAAACCACAAGAAACGTGAATCCAGAGGGAGTTGGAGGCATTTGAAGACAAGGGACACGGTTTATAACAGTTGAGTTAATGATCGGAGTGGAAAAATACTGAGGAGGCTATGGGTGCAAATGGACGGATCAGGAGCTGGACCCAGGGAGAGCAAAAAAAGAACAATACACTAGAAACATAAATTAATTCTAAATTCAGGCAATACAAAACCTAACAAATACCTAGCCCCTTTTCTTATGTTTGAGTAATTAGCTTGGTTTTGAATTTTCATATGTATGTATTTAGTTATTGGGTTATTTCATATTAGCACATTAGGGGAAATGTGGTATTAACGGTACCATAGCTAAATTTATCATATTTAATAATTCCTGCTCAATTTGTTGTTAGTTTAAACTGTTTAAACTGTTTGGCAAAGTACTCTTTTTTTTTTGCCTGGTTAATGTTATCGTTTTCCAGTATATTTTTAAAGTGTAACTCCATATATAAATATGTATATATAATTATATATGATATGTAATCATTCGTGTAGTTTCTATAGCAGGTGCCGGCGGCCTCTTCACTGCATTGCCCACATTCCCCCTTTTTTTCCCACACGACCTTGTGTTCAACATGGATGCCGAAACCATCCCCACTCAAAGCTGTTTGATACCGAAAGAGCTACGTAGCCCTATGCTGTGGTTATCACTGGTCCGCAATAGCACATTAACTTGACTATGGACTTGCCAACAGATTTTCTATTTATTTTGAACAGTTAGCAGTACATTTACGGACAAAACCCGTAACAATACGAAAACCGACGCGGAATGGCGTCTGCCAGGGGCCCAGGGAACTGAATAACAAAGTAATATGTCCAATGGGAAATGATGGGCAGCACTATCAGCCAATTGGAGTGTGTGGTTTATAATTTAACCAATTACAGGAGAGTAGGCGGGGGATATTTTGTAGTATCGCGCTATCATACATGTTCCGGGTGTGCGGACGTTGCTGATCATTTCCTGCACTGTTGCATGGTGGTCGAACAGGAGGAATTGTTGGAAATTTTTTCGGAGGTTAGTATATAAATTGGTTTTTACCCAGTGTGCATTATTCCCACAGCCATCACTGTTGCGAGCGGGAGTGACAGGCGGTGGCAGGGATTGAGTTGGGAAGTGTGAATTTCCGTTAAGAATAAGAATATAAAAGTGACATCCACCGAGCCAAAATGCTTATGATATCATTAATTAGCTCATGGTTTCCTCGTTCTTGTTTTCTTGCTAGGTTGCTACTTAGTCTAACTTGGTTCAACTAGAAATTGCTTGGAGGGTGCTAGCTAGCTTCCATTTGCCTAGCGGAGTCTTTTGATATACTCCATAGCGGATTGAGATCATCGAACTCTTTTTAACATCTATCTTTGTGAAAGAGTTTGCTACCAACCGATAAAAAAAGTCGTGACAGCACCGCTTGCCGTAGCTAGCCGTGCTGTTAGCATGGCCAGTTGACCATGTCGTAACGTATCGTGAACGCGGTTGTTGCTGTGTTTGGTTCAGACTTGCTGGTATGATGCAAACCGCAGCTAGCGTCACAAGATGAGTTGCATAAACTTGCCGTTTTGAGAAACTCTTTAATAACATTGTTGAGAATGTTGCAAGTCATAGCCGTGCTTCCAGGTAGCTAGCCTACCGAAAATGCTGTCTTCAATTCATCAAACAGAATAAAAACAGAACTGCTGTCAGGAGACGACAAACGTTAAGGTGATCGACACAGATGGATACATATTTAAATCAATAAATTGTTTTTTTTTTATCGTGCTGATGAAAGAAGTTATTAATTTACTTGTCAGACCCTTAAATGAACCCTCACTAAAACTCCCCAGGGCCACAGAATTGAAGCTTTTGAGTTTACTTTCCGGTCACATATGTGTTCACGTTTTTGGGGGGGCCAGATCTTTACCTTTTTTGTGTTACTTCCATTGGAGCACACAGAAAGATTTGGGCTGCTATTGTTATGTGTGTAAGAACATAAACAGAAGGTGAATTCAAACCATCTGCAGTTAGGCAGTGCTGTAATGTGTTTTTAAAAAAATATATTTTATTTTATTCTAATAAAGTTTTACTTTATATTAATTAGAAAAATGCCATATTTGTCATCAGGTGCCATATTTCATGGTGATATTTCTGTATTATATTACTTAAAAAAATGGGATAAGGGGATTAATCCTGCATTTTTGGATTTGTGTATATATATATATTTAATAAAGAAAATAAAAAATGATTTTAAATAGGTTGTACATTGGGTGTCTCTGGGGGTCTCTGCTTGACCTATGGGTTCCAGCCTATGGTTGATCTTCCTTTTTGTGTCCCTCCAGCAGCTGAAGCATGCTCTTGGCTCAGATAAACCGGGACTCCCAGGGAATGTCAGAGTTTCATGATGCAGACGGGCAGCCTGTTACTCTCTGTCTGACAGAGGCGGTGACAGTGACAGGTGAGCACCCACAGCACAGCCCACTGACAGGAACCCGCTGAGGGATAGCTCAACACAACTTTTTTAAAGGACGGAATAATCAGAGAGACTATGTTTAAACTCTGTTTAATGGACACTGCTCCTACACTAAAAGAAAAAGAAAAATAATTTGTTTAAAAAACAATATAATTTAAACCATGCAAGATGTATAAATAGGACACATGGTTCTCAATTTATGTTAATATTGACATTTGTATCTTTGTTTTGTATTTATTTTAGCTTCACAAACCACAGTCCAGATAGCTTTTTATTCTCAGATTTGTCCTTTTGATAAACTGGGGGAAAAACATTTTCATGCCATACCATCATCCTTTTATCTGTTCTGCCAAAAGTTTAAATGATGCTGATTCCTTTCCCAGATGGTGATCAGATGGACAGCATGGACACAGTCAGCCTGCAGGCTGTCACTCTCGCAGATGGTTCCACGGCATACATCCAGCATGATACCAAAGCCTCCTTTTCAGATGGGCAGATCATGGATGGGCAGGTGATCCAGCTGGAGGACGGCTCGGCCGCCTATGTTCAGCATGTGTCCATGCCCAAAGCAGGTAAACGGGGAACCTTCAGAAGAAGAAGGAAAGACGTGTTACTTCTCCAGTGTGTTTGATCGTCTGAGGCCGTTACCATGTGAAAAGCTTTGATTTGCGAGCGTTCTGTCTCTAATGTGAATTTAAATGTGTATCACAGGGGGGGACAGTCTACAGCTGGAAGACGGGCAGGCTGTTCAATTAGAGGACGGAACTACTGCATACATTCACACACCCAAAGGTAAATGTTTAGCATCTAAAACTGAGTTTTGAATAATGAAAAAAAAAGTGAATATTACATTTGTCCTTGTAGAAGCTTGTCTGTGTGACATACTTGGGATTTGCTGTTTTTGATAAGAGGACATTTTCTGTAATAAAATGTTTTTAAAGAAAAAAAAAAAAATCTGCTAAAATACTTAAATATAACAAAGCGGCCTCACTGTTGGAATGTTGAAAACAAGTCATCCTCTCTGCATGGAACCCACACCTCGTCTCATCAGTTATTTATTTAGTCTAAAATCCATGTTTCTTTGAAGATGCATATGACCAGGGTGGTTTGCAAGAGGTCCAGCTGGAGGACGGCAGCACGGCCTACATCCAGCACACGGTGCACATGCCTCAGTCCAACACCATCCTGGCCATCCAGGCTGACGGCACCATCGCCGACCTGCAGGCCGACGCCACGGCCATCGACCCCGAAACCATCAGTGTGTTAGAACAGTACAGCACAAAGGTACGGCCTGACTTCTTAACCAAGAAAATATCAAAACTCTATCTCATTCACTGAACTGATTTGTGTCAATAGCATTTTCCTGATAAAACGCCTTCTCCTTTCCCTCTCAGGTGGAGAATGTTGAAAACTCGCTGAGCCCGTTTGGCCGAGTGGATGCAGACAGCGGGGTCCAAATGCGGGTGCCGTATATTATTATTCTATTTTAATCTATTCAACATTTGTGGAACAGCACACCGATTTGAATCATGTTTCTTTCTCTCAGATTGTGTTACAGGGTCAAGACAACAGGCCTCCGCGAGTGTCCAATGTGGGAGAAAAGTCCTTCCGCTGTGAATATGAAGGCTGTGGAAAACTTTACACCACTGCCCACCATCTGAAGGTGAATGTGGATGTTTTTGAGAGGTCACATGACAATAAAAAGCTGATTTGCTTTGAGCTTTTCATGACTGAGAGGGTCTATAAGAGAAGTGTTCCTTCTCAGTGTTTTTGCTTTTGAGTTGACAGGGATAACTTTTCTGTTTTTCAGCCCCAGAGCTTAACCTGTGTGTTTTGTTTGGTTTCGCGGGCAGGTGCACGAGCGCTCCCACACCGGAGATAAACCCTACATCTGTGAATATCGCGGCTGTGGGAAGAAATTTGCTACAGGTAGTCAAGAAAAAATTAGACCATGTCTTATTAACATCGATAAGACTAACGTTTAACTTTTTTGGTGTTGTTTGTTTTGTTTTTAAACCTCGTGAATTTATTTTTCTTATCAGCTGTGAAAGTTGAAATAGTCCCTGAGATTCACTGAACTGGGTCCTGCTTAATTACATGACTGCCTGTCTTTGCTTATGCCCATATTAGGGTATGGACTTAAGAGCCACTCACGCACACACACGGGAGAGAAGCCATACAGATGTCAGGAAATGAACTGCTGCAAGTCCTTTAAAACCTCTGGGGATCTTCAAAAGCACACAAGGACTCATACAGGTACGCATCCAAAGCCTCATGCTACATGTTTATGTTTCAGCATTTAGGAGGCGCTTTTATCCAAAGCAACTTACAAAGTAGATACAATGTTACAGTTATCATCAATATGACAATAAGTTAAGAGGAAAATCTCTATTCAGTCAGTGGTGACAGCAAATAGACAGGGAAGTGTAGAAGGAGTAGTAGAGGGGTACAGATGTATGGGGAAGAGTCAGGATAAGAGATCTGTGGAGGGGTGGGTCTTGAAGAGTTTCTTAAAAGATAGAAACAGACTCGGAGGGCAAAACGTGTGTCATTAGGGTTGTCACGATACTAAAATTTTCAACTCGATACCGATACTCAGGAAAATAATCGATACTCGATACCATTTTCAATACCACAAGGATAAAAACAAAGGTATCGATACTTTAGAAAATTAGTATCGTATCTGGATACAACATTTTAGTATCAATACCTTTTTGAGTATCGATACTTTTGACAACCCTAGGAGTCCTGCTGTGTCTGACAGAGGAGCTGAATCTGGTTTCAGTTTGGCTCCGGGGCTTTTATTTTCTAACAGAGGACCCTTTTTGTTAAGAGCGTGCTGTAGAAATGATTATTTTGGTCAAAACTAACGGCTCAAAGTCTCTGTGTTTTTAAACGACTCGTGATGTGATGGAGTGCTGGGATTGGCCGAGCAGTTGGGAGGTGGTGTTTGATGAAGAGCTGAAGCGTTCAGCAGCTGTCAGAGTGCCTGAGGACGTGGGCACATGGGACATCGGGTTTATGTTTGAAATATAGTGTGTTATCCAACGTACTGTGGATGAAAAGAGCAAGGCGGTTATGATGCAGTCTAGAAATTTGAAATAGCTCCCTGGTTATCTTTTTTCCCCCCTCCTTTGGTCTGCTGCATCTCATGTCTTGCTTTGCAGGAGAGAAGCCCTTTAAGTGCCCGGTGGAGGGCTGCGGCCGGTCATTCACCACCTCCAACATCCGCAAAGTCCACATCCGGACTCACACAGGAGAGCGGCCATACTACTGCTCCGAGCCCAGCTGTGGCCGCTCGTTTGCCAGCGCGACCAACTACAAGAACCACATGAGGATTCACACCGGTGCGTGCCTTTTTATGCTGCCTAGCATTGTTCTAGTTTCAGCTCCGGCTGTCCGCAGTTTCTCCTAAATCTTTGTGAAATGCTGAACATGTTCTGGACAGCTTTAACTAAATGAGCGCGACCTTGCGTGTGCAGGAGAGAAGCCGTACGTGTGCACCGTGCCTGGCTGTGAAAAGCGCTTCACAGAGTACTCCAGCCTTTACAAACACCACGTTGTCCACACGCCCTGCAAGCCTTACAACTGCAACCACTGTGGGAAGACCTACAAGCAGATCTCCACGCTGGCCATGCACAAGCGCACCGCGCACAACGACACCGAGCCCATCGAGGAGGAGCAGGAGGCCTACTTTGAACCTCCCGCAGGTCGGCCAAACACTCCCTCTCAGCCTTTGTCCAATCCCGATCAGAAAGTAATGTCAGCTGACTGAATTTCCTGATTCCATCTGTCAGATGCCATTGACGATCCGAATGTCAGCTACTCGTCCACCGTGGTGGACGCAGACGACTCGGGCTCAGAGCAGATGCCAGTGGAGGCCTCTGACATAGTGGGTCCGCAGCATGTGGCCTTGGTCACTCAGGAGGACGGAACACAACAGCAGGTGACTTTAGCAACCTGTCTTTACTCTTGGGTTTTAAACGGCCTCTGTACAAACATGTGAATACAGTACTTCTTAAAAGCTCTGCCACATAAGTCACCTCTGAAAGCTGTCTGTCTTTACTACCATCATTCACACGGGTTTTGTGACGTTAAGGTGGAGGTTTCACAATTACATCATTTAGTAGAGATTTTTCCTGTTGGGTACTGTAATATCTCTGGTAAAAAATTAATAAAAAAAAAAAAAGTTGTGAGATATCTTTGAACAATAAATGATATCTTTGAGTTGCTTAAATCAACACAAAACAAGTGTAACCCATCTATCAATAAGATTCCATTCAGATTGAACAGAGTTTTATATAAAACTGAAGACCGATTCTCTGTGAAACTTAATCCTGTTCTCTCCATGTTGGGTGCCATATCAGGTCAGCATCTCTGAAGCAGACCTACAAGCTATGGGTGGTACCATCACCATGGTGACCCAAGAAGGCACAACCATAACCATCCCAGCTCATGAACTGGCAGCACAAGGTGCTCACTCTGTTACCATGGTAGCAACAGATGGGTCAGATGAACAGGTAAACATCTAAAACACTTTCAGATTTCATCTGCGGGCAGGTGGTCCTGCTGATAAGAATTTCTTTATTTATAGTCTTTTCATCCTCAAAGAGCTTTTCTTTTATCCAATCAGAAAGCAGGACTCTCCAGTCCAGCTCTTTTTGTCCAAAAACAGTCTAGAAATGCTACATTGTGCCATATTTATTTAATATTTTTCTGTAAAAACCAGGGTAAAGTAAAATATAAACCCCTTAAATCCCTCTCTGGGCTGACCCTACTGGTCAGTACATAGAAACGGTTACAAGGTTACATATTGTTTTTTTTTATTTATTTATTTATTTTTGTCAAAAAGTAGTTGACTTTTAGAACCATTCTTTATAAAGTAGTAGATTTGTGGGAAAAAATGTGTCTGTGTAAAGCTATGTCATCATCCTGAAAAATGAAAGATATTCATGAGTGAATAACTCATGATACATCTAATCATTTAGACCGCTTGTGTTTTTTTCTCTTCAGGTTTATATTTGTTGTATTTATGGATTTCAGACAATAATGGCTTCGTCTAACTGTTGAACACACCTCTGTTGTCCACAGGTGGCCATCATGACGCCTGACATGGCCTCATTTCAAACTGTGGAGGAGGCAAACTACAGCCAGGAGCAGGAAGATATCCATCCTGTCACGTTACTGGCCACGTCCAACGGCACCCACATCGCCGTGCAGGTTAGTGGATCCACACTGAGTGAGTCCAGTTACTCCATTTACCTAACTTGTTTTGTATGAGTGGTCAGAAAAGGGTTTGTGATGTAGTCAAATTGTAGGTAAAGTTCAAAAGGATTAAAAAAAAAGAAAAAAGTCAACACTACAAGTTTGTTGAATACATCCACATGTGGTATACATGTTTTTTTCAATTATTTGCCCTCAATGGGAATTTTAGTCTTTATTTAAAAGAATGTTGTTGCATTATTCTTTGTGATACCAGCAGGAGGTGTAGATGATACTGGTCATAGTTTCAGTCAGTGATAAGGTCACTGACTATCCCACCGCATAATCCCTCTCCAGGTCCCACCCACTTTAACTATTTGCTTGCATTCTTAAAAGTTTCCTGAATGGGTTGTTTTTCACGTCAGTGGGTTAGAAGTTGTTCTGCTGCCCTAATACAGGTGTATTTAAACTTATTTTCACATAGTATTATTAATTATTCGAAAAAGATTCTTAAGGACCATCACAAAGCTTCAACAATTCTGTCACAAAAATAATTATTTAGACTTGTATTAAGTACTTATTTAAATATAGGGGACTTATCTCCAAAAGCAGAAGTAAATGGAATTTTTTCATTCATGTTTTCCAAATTTTCCATCCACTGCTGTACCTGCTGACTTCTTGCATGATTTAAGACAGTGCAGACTTCATCTCAAGAATTAAAGTTTAAAGAACTGTTAACCCATTTATAAGCTTTTTTTCCCTTAAATTCGATTTCTCTTTAAAATTCAATTTACATACTTGTTTTGGACATTTAATCACTGCTTGCAGGTCCTGTTTTTTCTGCCTTTTACACTTGAAAGCTGTTGTTTTTATTCATCACCGTCTGCTTGTTTTCATGTTAATGGCAAAACAAGTTTTTTTGGGTGTGTATCACATGATTGTTGTCCAGGCAACTTTGCAGCCACAGTGATGTTACTCACATTAAGGCCCAGTTTTCTGAGTAGATAAATAAATTGATTAAATCGTAGCGCTAATTGCCAGTGATTAAGAAAGCATCAATCAGTCTTTGTGTTCTTGACATGGCTCTTTTCCTTCTCTTCAGCTTAGTGATCAGCCTTCGCTGGAGGAAGCCATAAGAATAGCATCAAGAATACAGCAAGGAGACACGCCGGGCTTGGATGATTGACGGAATCATTTTGGACGATGATTTAGGATCAAGACCTTTTCAAATGAACTTAAATTAATGGGAGAAATCATGAGTCTTCCTCCTTCTGTTTTCCACAAGTGAACGTAGCTTTTATGTGTACATAGGTTTTTGATAACTGGACTTGTGCTATGATATTTTGTCCCTCATTCCAAAAAAAAAAGAAAAATAGTGAAGGAAGGGGGGAATGCTTTGTAATGTTTATGGTGCACAATGCACAGTGCAGTGTACAGTTAATGCTATTTCTAATTAAAATAAGAAAAGTGATTGTGATTATTATTCCCTGTAAATTCCTGTTTTTCTGGGTTTAATTCCTGTATTTAGGCATTCATTTCCTCTATTCTGGGGGTTTAAATACTTAAAACACCTTTGCTCAGCTGTTCAGGGGAAGAATTGCACAACAAACTTGTAACTTGATTATTCCTGATAAGTCACAAATGACTTAGAGGAAAAAAGAATATGACTAAGGATGATATAATACCTGAGTACTACACGTACCCTGTGTAGAACAGAAACACCTGACAAGGGATGACATAGACTCATGACTCAGTTTAGGAATTTTCCACCTGTCACCTCTGCCCTCGGTACTGTACAACTACTGTTTGGGTGTTTGCAACACAAAATATTGACACGTTGTGTCTTCAAGGTAGTGGCCATATATTGAGTATATCAATAATCTGAATGGATATTTTGCCAAGTCCTTACAATTTCAATACTTCTGCAAAATATGTATTGGTTAATTTTTTTAATTTAGATTTAAAGTTGATGTATGTTTTAATATTTATGAGAGCAAAAAAAGGTTTAGTTTTTTCATGTTTGAAAATCTATATGATGTGGAATTATAATTGATTAATTGGCTTTGATCTTAAAAGGAGAGAAAAGCATTGTATGCAGCTTGACTTTGATTGTGTCGTCTAAATAATGGACGCATTGTCACGTAGCTAATGTAATTTGGTAACTTCAGTCTAGTTGAGAAAGGCACGCGTTCGCGCCATATTATTGCCCTGCTATAGATGACGTAATTCCTCCTAAACCACTCCGGAACGCCCATCTTTCAAAAAATTGAGACGAGCTCTGATTGGCTGCGTCACCACACGTGACCAACGGTCGCGGGAAGTCCTTTGCCACGCGCGTGATAGGAAGAACCCAGTCCTTGACTCATTCAAACTTTTTGTAAACATTGCTAAGTTTTTATTGTGGAAAGACGTGTTTCTCGGATGGTGATCCTTCAAGACGACGCGACGGACGCCGATACTCAACTACACGGGGAGCCCTTTGGATTGGTTTTAAGTTTTTTTAAATAACATGAGACGGTGTTTTCTTCCGTGAATAAGCTAGTTCATGGCCTTTTCTCGGCGTGTTGGAAATACCTAGCGATTTGCGTTTTTTCTTGTTTTTTTAGTGAATTTGAACATTAGATAACGTTATTTGAACACTATTTGATACCTTTACTTAAAGGTAACCAAGACTTGACTTGTTTTTGTAAAGGAACGCTGGAGTTTCAACCGCGTGATTTTCTTTTTCTAGTCGACGAAACCGGGGTTTAAATCCTGAAAATGTCGAGTTACAGCCGCCAGCGGCACGGAACCCCTTCTCCGAAGAGTCGGCACATTCGCCAGAAATTACAATTCGCCTCCAGCGACGGAGAAGATGACCCAATTGAGGACGTTAACAACAGCACCGGGGGCGAGTCGGGCTTCACGGAGCTGGACTCCCCCATGGCAGCGAGACGGGACACGGCGGCCAAACGGCTGGAGGGGGGCAGCAGCCCCCTGAACCAGTCCGGGGGGGACGACGACGTGGAGCTGTGGGACGAGGAGAGCATGGGCTCCCCGTCTCACCTGCGGTCCCCGAGCAGCGTAATTTTCGCCAACTGCTCGCCGTCGCCAAGGAAAGGCTCGCGGCTGTACGGAGGCTCGCCGGAGCGGAGCTACATCCAGGACGACGCGGAGGGATCCAGCTCCCCGATCCCGGACTGCCCCGACACACCTCCGCACAAAACCTTCCGAAAACTCCGGCTGTTCGACACGCCGCACACACCAAAGGTTAGCACCTTTCGTGTTTTAATGATAACCCCAATTCATTTTATATATATTTTTTAGTTTATTCGATATCAGTGTCTGCATTTAGTTGGAAATGCCAGACTGCAAGACATCGGCACGTGCGCTTTGCAGAATCTGGTTTCAGCTTTCGTTTTTTTTGTCTTATCTCATTTTAAAAGTTTTTTATTTCATTTAAAAAACCAAAGGTTTTTTTTTTCTTTCTTTTTTTTAAATCCAGTTGACGTTTCGGCTGCGTCGGTTAACGTCCCAGTGACCCACTTAATGCACAACTGGACCTGTTGCATAATGCTTTCACTGTACCTGATACTGGCTTTCAAAGCCTACTCCTATCAGTGTCTGGGTTTTATGTCCAGACATGTCTCTGTAGTTGATTTGCAGAACAGCAAGTGATGTATGTTTGCAATGAAAAGATTGTAATAACCAAAAAAGGGCAGTTTGTTTATTTGATGTCAGTTTTGCCCCCCCACCCAGATCAGAATCAGAATTACTTTATTAATCCTTTGGGGGAAATGACTTTTTTTGCAGTATTATGCAGTATTTATACAAAAAAATAGTATTTACAAAGTTGGCAAAGGTGTCTAAATTACTATTGTAATGGTGGTTTTGATGCACAAATAGTTGTCTTTTACCCACTTTGATTCTGGTCTAACTGGTCTAACTAACGGATCCTTAAACCCTTTTATTTTGCAGAGTTTGCTGTCCAGAGCCAGGGGCTCCGGCCCGGGGTCGTCCAGCAGGAGAGTTGCTCTGTTCAAGAATGTGGCGTCTCCGGGAAAGTCTCTCACGGACAGCAGCCGGAGACAGCAGGCCCCGCTGGTCAACTTCAACCCGTTCACGCCCGACTCCCTCCTCATCCAGTCTGCCACGCAGCAAAGAAACAACAGGAAGAGAGCCCACTGGAACGAGTACGTTTCTCCTCTTTCTCATGCCGTTTGTCTTTATCAGAGCCTGTTGCACCGAACAGACTGCAGCCCTCCTCATGTTTCTGGGGGCGTGCACCAGTCTAACCGCAACAGCGGCCCTGTTTAATGCACGGTGGAGCAGTCGGCCCAACACAAGCAGATTCGTTAAAGCCGTTAACCAGGGCAGGGGAGGTGGGCTTGGCTGGCAACCAAGACCTCATGGTTACCAGTGAACCCTGCCATGTGCTTGCTCAGCCCCCGGTGTCGCCCCCTGCTGGCCACAGCGCTGACCAACGGCCCCCTCTGTTGTGTGTTTCAGCTCCTGTGGGGAGGACATGGAGGCCAGTGATGGGGACGGAGAGGATGAAGTCCTCCCACCACCAAAGGTAACCATTGGATCAGACTTGGTGCCATTTAATGTTACTTTTCAGGCTTTGTCTTACGCTGTGCTACAGCAGCCACTGCAACAAATTCGAATGTTGCCATTATGTCACAAGTGGTTTGAAGTGGATGTATGCTGAAGGCAAAGCATTTACTGTTAGAGCAGAGTCTGTGTAGTTGGCTGGCATGTAAACACGAGAGATGACTGTGTCAGTTCGTTAGCTTTTTGCCAGAACGTGATTCCTGAGACCACTAGAAAGCGGTTTTCTGGAGGTAATGCTATGCTCTGGTTGTCCGCCCTCACAGAGGATCACCATGATGGAGAGCAACATGATGTCCCGCTACGCGTCCGAGTTTCTGGAGCTGGAGAAGATAGGCTGCGGGGAGTTTGGCGCCGTGTTCAAGTGCGTGAAACGCCTGGACGGTTGCATCTACGCCATAAAGAGATCAAAGAAACCGCTGGCAGGATCGGTGGATGAGTAAGTTTCTGTGACCATATGTGACTGGTTACTTCTTTCTTCCTCTGCGGTATCTTTTTATTCGTGTGCTTTTCTGCATGTCAGCACAGTGGCTCTGCTAAAGTAACTCATTTACAAAAAAAAGCCCCCAGGCCCCCCCTCCCCCGTCAGCAGTGCCTCTGATGTTTGAATTAAAACCAGGTGTGGCCCCTCCTTTCCCAGGCAAAATGCCCTGCGGGAGGTGTACGCCCACGCCGTTCTGGGCCAGCACCCCCACGTGGTGCGCTACTACTCGGCCTGGGCCGAGGACGACCACATGCTCATCCAGAACGAGTACTGCAACGGCGGCACGCTGTCCGACGTCATCGCCGACAACTACCGGCGGCTGGGCTACCTGTCGGAGCTGGAGCTGAAGGACCTGCTGCTGCAGGTGGCCCGCGGCCTCAAGTACATCCACTCCACCGCGCTGGTGCACATGGACATCAAGCCCAGTGAGTGCTCATGGCTCACAAAGAGCTCCCGCCGCCATTTCACTGCCCGCCGCCGCCGCCGGGTTCACTAGTAACAACGAATTCACGCGTCTCCTTTTTTCTTGAAGGCAACATCTTCATTTCGCGGAAGACTGTGGGGAGCTGCGAGGAGTTGGACGACGACGACGGGCCCACCACCAGCGTCATCTACAAAATCGGTAAGCCAAACCCCACACGGGTTTTTATTTAAAAAAAAAAGTGCCCGCCTTCTTTCATGTGGACAAGATCTCTCAAACTCGGCTCATTTTCAGGCGACCTCGGTCATGTGACCACGGCCAACAACCCGCAGGTCGAGGAGGGCGACAGCAGATATTTGGCCAATGAAGTTTTGCAAGAGGTTTGGAAATTTCATGGATCTAAACGGCCTTCCCCCCATATCCAGTTCAGGGTCTTTAATCCTGCTTTTATTTTTTTACTGTTCCAGGACTACAGTGACCTGACAAAGGCGGACATCTTTGCTCTGGCTCTGACGATCATCAGCGCGTCGGGCAGCGAGCCTCTGCCCACCAACGGAGAAAAGTGGCATGAAATCCGACGAGGAAAACTGCCCGCCATCCCGCAAGTGCTCTCCCCGGAGTTCCTCAGCCTGCTCAAGGTAACGGTCACCAGCTTTTATCCTCTTCTTTTGAGTCTATGGACTCTGTTATTTAGATGATTCGGTGTGAACTGGCAGATGCGTCAACAATATTTACTCTGACTCGATCTTATTCGAATAACATGATTATTATTATTATTATTTCCAGCTGATGATGCACCCCGACCAGACCAGACGACCCTCAGCGTCTGACCTCATCAGACACCCGGTGCTGCTGACCGCCGCCAGAATGAGCGCCGACCAGCTGAGAGTGGAGCTCAACGCTGAGAAGTTCAAGAACGCCCTGCTTCAGAAGTAAGCCGGACGCTCGCACGCACGAGTAGCTCCCCCGAGCCGAGGGCCAACGCCTGACCGTGTCTCGCCTTTTCTGTCCCCTGCAGAGAGCTGAAGAAGGCCCAGATGGCCAGAGCTGCGGCGGAGGAGAAGGTTTTGTCCACGGACAGGATCCTGACCCGCTCCACCGTCCAGTCCAACCCCCGGACCTCCAGACTCATCGGAAAGAAAATGAACCGGTCGGTCAGTCTCACCATCTACTGAGGCTCCCCCCCCACACACACACCACCAGACGTTGGACACAGAGGCTCATGGACCTTTCTTTAGGCCGAGCGGTCTGTTTTTTTTGGTCTGACCGGCATCTAAGATCTTCAGACCAGCCGAAGCTGTAGACTGTTGCTACTCTGACCTGGAAAACTCTCAGTAGACTCTTGTTGCCTAGTTCAGCCCCTCTTTTTCCATACAGATGGGCCTTTTCCCTTTGGAATATTCTCATTTTTCAAAGGTAGTTGCTTTACCTTCCGTACTCGATCATTCCTAAGTTACCGTAGACATCCGGCCCTGTCCCCGGCCCCCCCGGCGCACTTCCCTGGAGCCGGCGGCAGCCCGCTGCAGAGGATCAGAGCTGCAGGGAAGCCCTGTTCAGTGTGAATGTACTTGCCTTAGCCGTGTGCACCTTACTGCCTGTCGCATGCCTGATGCTGGCTACCAGAGGGAGTGAGAACTGACCATGTCTGTGTTTTGTAATGGAGCACTTTGGAGGCAACACGTGGGATTCGCCACGGTGTTTTGAGAAAGAAAAAAAGGAAACTTGCTGCTATTGATGTTTTATGTGTATCAGGGCTTGGTCAGTGGAAACTGGATCGTTCTAGAGGTCATCGGCTTATATTTTCCAAGTAGCGGAAGTCCATTTCTCCATTTAATATTTGCCTTATTCTCCATTTTTTTGGATGGAAAATGGATCATGCTGTTTACTTGGGAGAAAAAAGGAGAAATCAAAATTGACCAAACCGGTGAGCTGACTCATGATGCGTGAGGTTAGATTTGATCCAGTCTTTGTTTCTTCCCTGCCGATCAGTGCTTCCAACCCTGCCTGTAGCATTAGAACAATCATTGTCCTGTTCTTCGGATTCACATGTGTTCTGTTTTCCCATTTTCACAAAGCTCATCTTCTATTACTGTTTAGAAAGCTATCCCTTCTCCATTTGTTCTTGTAACCCCTAACACAAAAAGCTTTGGAACTTGTACATATGTTCTTTTAATAAATTTCTCTGTATTAATTGCCTTTAACATGTGTTGGTATATTTATGCAAGCTGCCTTTTGGCATCAACGGATTGCAAGAGTAGACAACACTTGTGGGTCAACCGTTTGGTACAATCGGTCTGGATGAGCTGCAGTCTACCAGGAACCAATACTAAACATGGACCAGATTTAGCAAAAGTATTCACGTGTTTGCGATGTAATTACAAGCCATTTAAAAAGCCCACCTAAATCCCTTCCAGCCGTTTGCTGCGGGCTACTGTCATGCTGAACACTGACCCTCTGTAGAGGTCTGAGGACTTTCCAGCCAAACTCGCTTTCTTTGACAACTCGGGAACTCGATGGGATTACTTGTCGCCTCATTGTTGTGGCATGCACCACCGGCGGCGAGAGACGTCCAAAAGCACTAATGGTGACAGATAAAGGGGGCCTGAGGGGCACCACACCCAACAGGACCTCAGCTGCAGGCTGGACAGACGTCTGAGAAACAGAGGCATGCAGACGCGAGGTCTAAGACACACACAGCGGGAATACCAGGTCCCAGAAGTATTCAGAGGGACAGTCAACACACACATTGGATTTATATACTGTTATTCTCCATCAACATATTAATGTGTGTGTTTTATTCTTTATGCATGTAGATAGAAATAGAAATAAAATGCAGACAACATGCAAACAGGCCTCCGTAGTGACATGGATACATATTGACAGCACTTATTCAGACTTGGAAGAGGATAACGGCGGCATGTGTACATGCCTGGAGGTAAAAAAAACACATACACATAATATAGAACAGCAACATAAGTGGATGGCCTAACGGGTGGAAATATATAACTAATGTAACTTGTAATCTAAATGAGGATGCCAACTTTATAACAGGGCTTATTTTCTAATGTTTAAAGCCGTTTCTAATTTTGAATGTTTCCTAGGTTAATTGCTATCACCAAAATCAATCATTCTTTTTCTTTTAACAGATTAAGCAAAACCGCCAAAGCGGAGTGAATATTAACTCAAAACAGCTAACGATTATTTCAATCAATAGGTTGACCTATGATTAAAATAAATAAATCACAAAGTCCTAGTCAGGACATTCCTCTAGCCAGATAATATTGTAACTTGTGTCCAGTTAGCTAGGGTGACCAAATGTCCTCTTTTGCCCGGAAATGTCCACTTTTTTAATCCTGTACGGGTGGGGGGGTTTATACATTCATGGAAATGTTTTCACTGTTTCACACACACTCGCAGGGAGCAGAGCAGCCAGCAGTGGAGACAAAATGCCCAAACCAAAGTGCAATTTCACAGACGAGCTGCAACAAAAATGTCCCCTGTACCGTTCAGGTTAAGACAAGTGGGAGGCTGATGCACCGTGTTAACTGCTGGGACGTGTTTCAGTGTCTACTAAAGCTGAGGAGACCTCAGAGCTCACATGGACACTGAAAAACATGTGCGAGGTGTGAGTTGTTATGCAAAGTTTACTCAGTACTTTGTCAGACCTGGAAAACAGGATGCTGTAGATCCTTTTTGTTTGTTGAGTTTGTATCGTTGTTTCATTCATTCCATTCAGAGGGTATTCAGAGGTATTTAGTTGAAGCTGTATTTTCTAATTCAAAAGAGGTCATATTTATATCATGATTTTTAAAAAAATGTATTTTAAAAGAGGGCTATCATTTTGTTACTGGGTGTTACAGATTGTTTTTCATTCAGGTCTAATAAAGCGTGTTCATGCACTTCTGAGAAGCCTGTCTGCATCTGTCTGGAGGCAAAGTGTCTTTCTTTTTGGAAATCACCCTAAGTTAGCTCAACTGGCGCCAGCGCCTCCATCTTTGTTTTGGTCAGCTTCTGTTTGTCAATAAAAAAAACTTTTAAAAACACACACAAAACACGACGTGCATCTTCTTGTTGCCCGCTTTTTGAGCTTTTCCACATTCCGACCCACAGAGCAGCTCTCGCTGGGGCCCTGGGGCGGGCTGAGGCGGGACGCTGCCCCGGGGCCTCGCTGAGCGGTGCTGCCGCTCTTCGCTCCGCGCCATCACCATGCCGAGCACGAGGAGCTGTCTGACAGCGCGTCACGTGACTTTTCCCTCATTGTTTCCAGCGGCACGCAGACAGCGACCGGAGAGGAAGGGTTATTGACGGCCAGTTAGAGGAGAGAGGGAGAGAATACAGAATAACAAAGTTATATTTCAGCATCATGGCTCTGCGGGACGAACTTTTAAAGTCCATTTGGCACGCGTTCACGGCGCTGGACGTGGACAAAAGTGGGAAAGTATCCAAGTCCCAGCTGAAGGTAGGCTCACAAAGTTACACTTTTTTTCTTTTCTTTTTTTGGGGGTCAGGGGGGCTCAACTTAGCATATCTGAAAAGGATGTTTTTCCCTTCCCTGGTTGGAATAAACGCCTCTCTGTCTGGCTGAAGAGACGCACCTGTTTCTTATCTGAACGATGACGGAGGCTCGAAATTTCGGCGTTTTCCAGCGTTATAAGTAAAAATGCCTCTCCACAGACGACATTATTAGCACATTGCATTCATTATTAATGACTTTAATTTTTTCTTTTCAAATCTAACCGTATTGCCAAATGAAATGGCAACTTTGAAAACAACAACAACAACAAGTCTTTCCCGGGAATAGCTGTCAGCACACATGTGGCCAGATGTTTTACACTGTACCAGCCAGCCATTGTGTAGCAGTAGGCAACAAAAGTCAAGTTTGGGACCAGTTACTGTAGCCTCAAAGTACCAGAATGCATTGCATCACAAAGAATGAACACTGCCTTTAGTTTGTTTGTGTTTTTTCTGTTTTCTCTTTCTGACCACTTGGACCTTCCATGGTTCCTAGAACTATTGGAGCCAGTCCGTCCTCTATTTGTTCCCCGTCAGCGCAGGAGCAGCATGCTGTCTCTGGTTCCAGAAGTCTATAGGGGATGTTTTCTTTTCTATAAACCTTCCTGCAGAATTGGTCAGGGCATGACGGAAACCTGTAAAATCCCAATTCAATTCAATAAAATTTTATTTCTATTGCAAATCCCAACAACAGTTATCCCCGAGCTTTCCAAGCAGAGCAGGTCAGACCTACTGTGAGTTATTTACAGAAGAGCAACGATTCCCACAGAGGGTTTTTTCAGTGATTGTAAAGTACCAGTTACAGGTTGGAGCGTACTTCCTTATGAATAATGTGTGGGTGTGCCCAAACTTTCCATGCTGTTAATTGTAAGGGTGGATCGAGCAAGTGAACAAAGGCTTCAAAGAGGCTACTGAAAGATAGAACTTAGGGTCAAATGTGGAACGGCAGCCTTAGAATGATAAGAGACTCAAAGGGATGGGGGAATGGGATCAAGCCCAGGGGTATTAAGCTTATTAATGATTGTGATTTGCCAACCAATTGTCCATTTTTAAAAATTTTTTTTCAAATGTCAGTGATTTGGCAACAAATTGCCAAAAGTGTCAGCTTCCCTGTCGGGACTAACTGTCAGATGAACTTGTGATGACGAGCCGTGTGGTCAGAAAGTGTCACGTGTTGAGCTGACATGATTTTAAAAATGCACTGCCAATTCTGCCTTAAGGAGGAAAAGGAAACCGAACCAGAACAAAGGCTAAATGCTAAGAGTTTTAGTCAAAAGGTTTAGTGAAACAAAGATAATTACCATTAAAGTGTTACAATTATATCACATACAAGAAATGCAGGAAATATACTGAGTGTTTCAGATGTTTTTTTTCCACAGTTTTTTAAAGGTTTTTAGCTACTTTTGATGTGATTAAGTGTTCAATCTCCCATATTGGTGGTTTCTGAAATACTTTCAGCTCTCGCCACATTCTGTCTGGTCTATGTGGCAGTTTTGTCAACCAGGGATGCACAGCCTCATCACCTTGTACCAAGAGCGGAGTTAATTAAAGATGATCATTACTAATCCCACAGTTTCTAAGTGTACTGTGATAGAGGAATGAGCTCTGCTTTGACTGGAGCTTAAGACAAGCAGCAGCTCTCATCCCTCCACCTGGATCCAGTTCCGGGATGGAGAATCAACAGCTAATGACTCACATACAAAGCTTAACTATTTTTGATTCTCATAACCAGCTCTTGTCCCGGCGTCACTAATTCACTGTTCGGAGTTTCCCAAATTGAACTTGAAAACCACAAGTCTGAAGATAGTGAAGAAGGCTTACGTCACAAGTGATGTGCTTGAGCAGAACCTCTCTCCTAAGATGGAAGGAAAGCTGTTTCAAAGAGCCTGCTGCCAGTGCCCCTGGTTTTCTTTTATTCATGCTTTCCAGACTTTGATTTTCCTCCTCACCCACTGTTTCACATCTAAAAGAATCACAATCAGAAATACTTTAATAATCCCTGAGGGAAATGATTTTCCTTACACACTCCAGATATACAAACAACATATATATATATATACATATGTAACTATATGTACATATACAGATCTAAAATACAGTGATAATGATAATGTGCAAAAGAATGAATAAATGTTAACCATTTTGAAAGGCTCAACAGAAGGGTCTAAAAACAAGGGCTCCCAGAGATTTTACATCTTCTACACTGTACGTCATGGACTAACAAAACCTTGAAATGGGGAAATTTGGCTGGTGGCTTTCTCAGATTAAACATTGATGTAAATCGATGTGGTATCTTGTGGAATGTCTTGAGAGTTTGCCTTTTGCACTGTTTAACAGAAGCCGCTGCTTGGGGTTATCTCTCTGACTGCGATTGGAATGTGCTTCCAGGTGCTGTCTCACAATTTATGCACGGTGCTGAGGATTCCACATGACCCGGTGGCATTGGAAGAACACTTCAAAGATGACGATGAGGGCCCCGTCTCCAACCAGGGATACATGCCATACCTCAACAAATTCATCCTGGATAAGGTCAGTCTCAACCTCTGGATTCAGCCGACAGGGATCATGTGTGGTTGCACTGCAGGGATTCATCAAACCGATTTGTTCTGTGAATCATCGACTCGGGTGATTCTCATCTTAAAGTTTAGGATCCCCTCTGACTGCACATTGGTGCCAGGAAGCAGACACACAATGGTTTCCTCTGTTTTAGAGGAAACCGTAGCGAGCAGTGATTTGACTTTGAGTCAGCAGCCTGAGCTGGGACTTTCATATCCTTGAATGGAACATGATACATTATCAGGGGGAGGAAAAGACACAACATGTGGCAGTAGGTGCTGTGATTGGATGATCACTGTCCACCTGCTGAAAGCCAAACAATAGAGAACTGAGCCCATACGTGTGCTCATGCACACTGCATGCTTGGAGCTGTAACATACTTTTACCCTTGTTTGTTCCGTAAACTCCCTGTGACAGATCTAAGGGAATGTGTAAAACTGCCACAGCCTTTTATGCTTTTGTTTGCCCCCCTTAAGCTGTCGTCTTATTGTGATTTGCAGTTTTAATTAGTTGCTGTGGGGAGATCAGTTACCATAAATTTAGGTTAACTCACCGGGTTGATTTAAAGATGCAAGCGAACCACATTAAGCCACAGCCACTTCCTTTGTTTCTAGATACGGCCTTCATGAAGAATGCCCTCTTGTGCACCCTGGATAGTGATGTCCCTGCATTTAGCCTTTATATGTGAACGTTTTTAGAGATGATCCAGGGACTCTTGACTTCACTTAACGTCCTCAGTAAATGACTCATGGTGTCATTATGGCATCACCCTCTCATGCTGGTGTCTCTCTATTGTTTCATTGCACAGACGGCATCACAAAGCCAGTTGCTGAACACTGAGTCAGCTCATTCTGGCCTTCTGTGGTGATGTCACACGTCGGCCGCTTTTCACTGTGTCAGAAAGGTCATCGTGCAAGTTTCTTATTTGTGCCGGTTGTTTTCAGCCGATCAGAGTAGATCGTATTGTTTCTTGATGATTTCCAAAGTGTAGTTTGCAACCAGGCAGTGAACTTAAGTGACAGCTAATTTAGATTCTTTGATTATTGTTTTGCTTTAATCAAGTTGACTTGATGAAGGGAAATAAACTAGGTCTCTCATCCTGTTTGACCTGCAAAAGGAATTATTCTTTATTAAAATTATGCAGAAATGTTGATCAAATGTAAAACTTCAGATAAATAACCGAGACTTCAGACAAAAAAATGATTTATCAACATTTTTTCTAGGTCAGGCTTTAAAGGGTTCTTGGTTACCAGGAGAAGCGAGTGGCACCCAGATGTGAGTGGGAATCAGGACACGTCAGCACAGATGCTGATGAGGACTGGCATGTGAAATGGGGTTAAAATGTGTCACTTCTCTGGGAGGCTGCTCTGTCATTACTGATAAGGGTGGGAGGGGAATCTCTGCCTCTTCTGCTGCTTAGTCTGTTTCATTCAGAGCTAGGGCATACTGCTCCACGTCCTTCTGCTGGGTGATCCTCCACAACCTTTTTTTTTTCCTTTTGTGATGCTGTGAAACCTTTTGTTCTTCTTTGTGTATCAAGCGAGTTTAACCACATATCATTTTGTCTACAGGAGCAAAATCTAAGTATCTTTCTCTGTCATGTCAAAGTTACATCATTATTTCCTTGTTCCGTCTCTTTGGACAGCAGTTGTCTGGAAGGAAGTTGGGAAACATGTTTAACAACTATCAGAACCGCATCATTTCTGTGTGTGTGTTTGTGAGTCATACAATCAGGGAGGATTTATCATGCAGATGGCCCCCAGAATACCTGAATCCTCTTATTTCACACTCCCACATCTGTAACATTTTTCCAGCTTGGTGGGATAGCTTAGATTAAAAATAAGTGGTCTTATTGTTGTTGTCTGCGATTTCTCTCTAAATTCCACACACCTGATCAGGCACTTTATGTGACTACTGACGGCAGGTCAGAAACCTGTCCAGCTTCAGAAGTGACATGACGTCGTCAGAGGAAATGATTGACCCCTCTGACGCACACACAAACTTGTAGTAATGTGTAATTTTCCACACAGCAACCCCACCCACCCTTTGACGTGAAGGCGGCTGTTCTGGGGGTGTGGGGGGTTGTTAAAGCATCCAACTGACCTTACTCCTGAGGAAACTCCACCCGTTCGCACCAGGAAACTGTGTGTAAGGGTCTGTGTGTGTGTGTTTGTGTAAACCAGAGACTCAAAAAGCAGCACAACAAGAATCCTGTTCTACAAATGAATAGGGCGGCTTGTCAGGAAAAGCCGCGAAAATGTGTGTGTGTGTGTGTGTGTTTGTGTTTATATATGGAAAGCCGAGCTGGATGGAGACTGTGCTTCATCCTCACTGACTCAGTCTGCGTTTGTGGGAGGAAGCAGCAGAAAATAAAACTCAGGAGACCAGTTTAGCCGAACCGAGGACAAAGATGAGGAGAACAAATTCAGCTGTGACTCTGAATCCCTCCGCTTTTAGCCGGCTTTGTTCTTTTGGACAGAATCGTGGACTTGATAGAATAAGAAGTTCCCCTTTGGTTCAACAACATGCTGAAGATGAAAGGTTTAAAGTGTGAATTAGAACGATCAGGCTGGCGTTTTGGGACAGTGTTTCTATGCCGACTGCAAAAGCAAAAACCTGTGTGTTTATTTTTCACTTCACAGCATGCAAGTTCTCCTCTAAGATGTGATGATGACTCTAGCTTTTTCTTCCCATTGTCAGCAGATGAAAGGCATCATAAACAGTTAGCTTTGACTATGACATGCAAAATAACCTCCAACTCCACTCTACCCTGACGGAGCAAAGTTTTATACAAAAAAAAGAAAAAGACCCCAAAAAAGTCCCCAAATCTTCATTGTTTCAGTTGAATTGATCACCAGAGCGTGATCTATCCACGACCAACACACCCTCTCTTTTAAGATGCCTGTTTCTATCATTATCTTTGAATCAATCTCAATTCTTTTCAACCTCAGAGGTGATATTTCATTTTTTATTGGGGTTATTGTCATTTTTTATCATTTTTATTAGTTATCCCTTTCACTCACAATGCTTTTGAAAGATTAAAGAAGAGACAGTACCTTGCAGTTATGACAGTTCTTAAACTAGATTTTCTCTCTGCAGGACTTGCGGTTGTATTAATATGTTTATGTGCATTTCCTGTTTGGGGACAGCACAAATGTGAAAGCTGTAAAAGCCACTGCTGGAGATAAAGCCCCCGTTTGGACCAACACTTGCTGCAGCGGTGTAGAGGTCGGGGGAGGGGGAAAGGGGGTGGGGAGGGTGGGGGGGCAGCTCTCACAAGCATCTCACTGTTGAAGTGCGGAGACTGAGAGGGAGCTAGGAGGGAAGAAGCAGCGAGCCCTGAGGAGCCTGTGTACAAAGAGATGCTCTTTCGTAACAAATCCCTCTTTCACAACTCGTGTTCCCCGCTCGTCTGTCTTGCTGTAATCAGACTTTGCTGACTCACTTAAACTTAAGTTTGTTTCTCTTCTCTAAATACCTGAACACAGCCCTCCTCATTCTCACATTTGATTCCCACTGAAAACAAGACTAATCAGAGGCCTCTTTGATTCTAATGTTATTTAAAAAGAATAAAATAAATACATACAAACTGGGAGGAGCCATTTCCTAGCATGCATTTGTTTTTTCTCTTGTGCAGCTCCACCCTAGACCTATTGTTGGAGCATTAAAGGGTATCTGGGGGCTTTAGAGTTGCTTTCCCAAGAGGTTTGTAGTTTCAGGTTTTTCATACCCTGGCAGCTGTGTTGAAATGCTTCCATGTCTGCTTCAGCCGACCCCAACGATAACACCGTTACCATGGCCACGGTGGACTCTTCTGCAATTAAAGGTTACATGCAATAATAAAATGTACATGGAATTCACAATACGCAATGATATACATACTGAGAGTGTTTACTTTCTGTGCTTCTCTCTCAATATTCAGCATCTAAACATAAATAACTTGGTTGCACACAACTAGATAAGATGCACAAATTAGCTGCACATTGGAACAAATAAAGTTTTGATGCAAGTGCAAAATAAAGTAAGCTGAATTTACACATTGAACAACACAGTAAACCAGCTCATTCAACTAAAAATGTAACTTCATATTCACTAAGTGCATATGAATAGTTTAAGGTGCACAGCAATTACTATCAGGGTATGTGCTGAGCACTACAGTTTACAGCCCAGAGCAAATAAAATGGTCAAAATGACCAGAATACAATGTAAAATCCTAATTTCCTTTGAATACATATTTGCATGTGCATAGATATACTAGATATAGACATACATATGAACACCCTAAGAAAATATTCCGCTCTGAGTGGACAGAAACTGTTCAAACTTGCCTCTTTGCACTGTGGGTATATGAATGAGGGCTGAGTATTGATTAGATAGCTGACTACATGCATGGCTGCAGAAGTGGAATGCAGCCCTCATTAACAGACCTGCCATTAGCACATGTTCATGCCCTCTGCCCCTGTTGGAGTCGTGCTATGTGAGCCAGCATCTTCTGAATGCTATAACATAAACATAGCTACTTTTTAAACATAGCTTTTGGAGAATCTGAGTAGTCTTAAGTGCTCCTCACAGTTGTGGGGTGTAACAGCACTGTCATGTGAAACAGATCGAAAACGGGTTCATTGCTCATAAGAATAATGTATAATCTCAGCCCACTCTTACCCCAAAGCAGTCTGAGGGCTGGAACTGTGAAGAACAAAAGCCAATGTTGCTTTAAAATGGCAGTACAGAAAAATCCTTTTAGAAAAAAAACATAAGTATTTATCTGTATAATTTCAGATTAGTTCTCATGACCTCCAAACCTTTCCCCCCGTGTCTTTCCCTCATTTGTTTTGCGGACTTGACTCCAAACAGTTTTACGCTACGGACCTTGAAGGTGGTGAGAACAGATGTCCATCATTCCAGGAGTGGCTGCGGCCACTTCCACTCCCTGTTGCTTGTGGGTTTTCATGACTAATCTATTGAGTGCTTTTATCCAAAGTGACGTCCAAGTGACAAGCTTACAGAGGCCATTGAACAGAATGAAATGGACTACATTTGTTATGAAATCTGTTGATTTAAAAACCTATGAAACCTATGACTTTCAGTTTGGAAACCCCAAAAAACAATACAACAATAGTCTGTGTGTGTCTGTGTATGTTCCATTTCACAAACGTTTTGTCTATGCTGAAACTTAGTGATTTTTACATGATTCAGGTCATAGAAAAGTTCCAAAGTTAACACTAATTTGTTTTTTCCAAAGCAAACGTGAACATCAATGTTAAAATGTGAATATGAATGATGTGGAGCTCAATTAAATTATCTTATTTTTAAAAAAGGAAAGGCAAAGCAGTAAGCTTTTTCAAAACTGGAATGTTATTTCTTTACTTTTAGTAATAGCCGGGGCCACAAACAACATGGAATTATAAGTTATTTGCCTTAATTTTCCCTCTTAAACATGTGAAGTTTGACCATCTGACTGAGCCGTGGCCAGGCATGGAACGCTTGTTTCTAAAGGACAAATTTCTTTGCAAATTGCAAAACTCAAGGGACGATATGTGCTGGCATGAAAAACGAGGATCTTTGGGGACATTTTTGGGGTCAGAAGGGCGTTGAAATGTGTTTAAACCGGCTTCTCGTTGTGAAAATGATCTGGATTGCACATTGTAAGAAACAGGAATTCCAATTTTACCACAGTTGATTTACAAAGAAAACAGCAGCACATTTTTTCGTGGCCCCTCTTTGAGCTGAAAGGATGAATGATTCAGAGATATTGGGTGGAGAGACTCTTAAACATCCTCCACTGGTTTCCACACAGGCACTCAAATGAACTTAGCACAATAGTGAATTACATCAGATCCTGTGTAGCTTTAGAGAAGCACACACCAGCCCAGAGTAGTCATTTACTCGGGCTGAATGTTGTTCTCTCCCACACAGTGCAGAAAATAAAAAGAACTCGACAGAACTGGGCGAGTTTGGGATAATTAGCAGTGCACAGCTAAGGCGGCATTATTTAACACATTTATTTTAAATGTTGAAAAGACCCACTTAAGCTTGGGAAAAGCTTTGGGAACATCCAGAAAAACAAAATCTAGAATTTGATGCCAGCAAGATTGTTAAAAAAAAAAGGAAAGGCAAAGAAAGACAGGAAAATAAGTTTACTAATCATCAGGCTGTGTGATGACTGGTGAGGGTGCCAGGATTAGGTATAAAAATCTTAAAGGTCCTCCATCTAAAGCTGAAACTGTATTCTGCATCCTAACATATCTGCTCTCTAGAGCCTCCGTTTCCAAACGGGTGTTGCAGCTCCGCTAGCCGTCAGAAGTAACGACAGCATGACTTCCACATCATGGAGTTTTCTCTGGTGATGAGGTTTGTGATTTAAAAGAACTGAATAACTGCACTGAATCATTAGTGTGAGCATGGAACTCCTCCTCCAACCAGATAGCTGCTTTCAGTCTGGTGACTCTGAAGGAAAACGCCTGGTGGATCAGCTAGACAGACAGACTAGTGCTTTATGTCCCTCTGCCATTATAGTTTTTCAAAATGTCGGATCGCCATTGAAACCTCAGTTGACTTACCTTTCCTGTGTATATACAGATATTTATGCTTCTGTATAAAAAGTGCTATATAAAAAAACTTTGATTTGATAACAATTCTTCTTCTTCTTATTATTCATTATTATTTTTTACTCAGTACTGTTACTGCTGTATCCAGGTACAACTGTGGTTATTTCAGAAAGACGGTGCCAGACATTGTTCTGCACAACGTCCAGTGGCACATGTCATTCAAGCTTTCCCATCAGCAGTCCAGGCCAGTGTTCTTTTGAAAATCGCCAAAGCATCATAAAGAAGAAGATCAGATGCCAACTCAGAATTCAGTGGAAAAAGACTGACATGGAGGAAAATGTAGCTAAATTTTATCCAAAACACATTGAACTTGTTTGGCTAAGAAACTGGTCTCATTTCTAATAGCTAAAGGTTCAAACAACAGAGTTTGCATGTTGATAGGTCAGATTTCTTTTTCTTTTAAAATTTTAATCTCTTAGTGCTTTTAGAAACTGATTATCCAGGAAACACACTTAAGAGTTAACTGGCAACAATTTTTCAACTTGCAAACATGACTCAAGCCAATATTTTATGGCCAATACAAAAACACTTTTGGAGCTGATTAGGCTGTCAAGTCTTTAGAGTTCCTTTTTTTCAGATAAATCTTTGAGGTAGGGGTTTAAAAACAAAACAAAAACAAAACTTGAAGCCAGTTGGGTGATGGGTTTTATTTAAAATATCTGCCTCATGGCAAAAGATGTTTTAATTGACATATTCAGAATGACTTTTATTAGCGTATATGCGTGTAAATTTGAGAGTGTGTTATTTAATTTGAAATACCAGCGTTTGTTTGTGCTGTTATCAGAGTGTGTGTGGGTGATGACATTATCAGCTAAAAACTACACGCCATGCTTGACTTTGTGCTCAGACCACAAAAATGTGATCCCATGTGATGGATGGGCTTTAACTGCTTCAAACGTTTGGAGTTCAGAAGATAAAGACGTGCTCACCGGTTCACAGCTCCAGTTAAAAGCTTTTCAAGAGCTTTCCTTACATTTTGCTTTGTGATTTGGAGCCTTCCTTTTTTTAAAGCCTAATTTCTTCTCTGTCTCATTTCTTTTTCTTTTTAAATTTCTAATTAGATGTCTACAAACCTTTATCGAGAGTTATCAAAGAAAGACATGCAATGCGTGTTGTGCACGTGAAATGATCGGGGCATTTTTTCTTCACTTCTATATGAAACCGGATGTTACAAAAGGGGCCTGCTCAGTCAAAGTAATTATCTAATACAAAGTACTACTTTTGATACGTTTGTGCATTTTCACCTAAATAAAAATATTCGGTCTAAGATGAGGATTTTTAAAAATGAATGATAAATACTATATAACAAAACAGTATAACGGGTTCATATCCTTCATTTGATAGACAAATGTTGTGGGATAAGAGAAACACAACAGGTTTGAAATGTGGAGCAGAAAACCTGTTCATGTTCTTGTCATGAAGACGTCAGTCTGCCGGCTTAGGTTTGATCTGTGTCGGACTCCCCAGGATGCGCTTTTTCCCCTGGCTGTCAAACCCCCGACTCACCCGGGATGTGTTCTCTTCCCTCACAGGCGACGGGCAACTTTGACCGCCAGGATTTCAACAAAATGTGCTGGACATTGTGCTCGAGGAAGAACCTGGACCAGAATCAGCTCTTCATCTCCCACGATGATGCCTTCAAGATCTGGTGCATCTTCAACTTCCTGTCTGAGGACAGATACCCGCTGATGATGGTCACAGAGGAGGTGAGTCCTTCCCTCTGGATCAGTCCTCACTAACGGGGACAAATCATGACAGCATGCAGTGAATGCAGAACAGAGCATCTGTCTTCAGGTAAAACTGTAGGAGTACAAAAGTCAGAATTATTCAATTCATATTGTTTTTGTCTTTTTAAAAATGAATTCATGAGGAACTACTCACTATTCAGACTTCAAAATGGAACCTTTCCGCTACCTACTCACGTGGCACAGCATGGCTCTATGCAGTATTTTTGAATTTCCACGGCACCACTAAACTATTCTGCCTTTAGCACCTACTAGGCTTCCATCAGGGCTGAGAAGGGCGACTGCTGGACACTGATTGGCCACCGAAACCACAGAAGCTCCCAAGAGCCGTGCTGAGTAGTTAGTTGGGAAAAGCACCAGTAGTGAATATTGGATTGATACGATGATTTGTATTGTGAGACGTCACATTGAGGTGCTTAGCACAATGTTTTTTTAACTTATGCCCTTACACCATTCCAAAATACCCCAAATGTTCTTTTTACTTTGCTGTAAACATATCTGTTTAAATCTATATTTCTTTTCGAATTAATGCCAAAATGATGGCACTTTTTGTGTACGCAAACTAACATTTTAGCCTACTGATGCCAAACTACTCAACACATCATTGTTTATGTTTTATGAATCTGGTTGAAAAGAGACTTCTACTGAGCGGGTTTCAGAGAGTTCACCACAGTCCACAGTTTTCAGCTCACATTCCCCAACTTTTCGACAACCACTGTTACCACTGGTCTGCTGCGACCTGTAAATTTTCAAACTTCCCACAAACCAGCCTGTTTAGATTTACAGTTTATACTCAGCTATAGCAGTAAACTGTAAATGTTGACACAGCCAGCGTGCTAAAACGTGAGGAGGTCACTGACATACACGTGTCAAAGGACGAAAACAAACTTCCCACTTCATTCCTGGATGCCTATGCAGGCTTTAAATTGCAATTAAAGGCAGTCCAACTCAGCCGAGTGAGTTTTAAAATACCAGATATGCTGCAAAAGGGGCCGTGCGTGTGTGGCTTCACCTCTCACCAAATAACCAAGGGGAAAATATCAGTTGCTCAAGAGCGAAAAGGAAGTTTTCAGCTTCCTGTTCTTTCACAAATGCTGGATGATTTATTGTTGAGTGCAACAAACATCAGAGCTGAATCGCAGGGCAATTGTTTGCCAAAGAAATGTAAAGTCATGCATGCCAGTCAGCTCAAGAAGATGAATGGTGGGAAAAACTGCGGAGAAGGAACAGCTCTAAGCAAACAGTTTGGTGTTTTGACGTGCATCTGCGTACTGCCTTTGTGATGCTCAACTCTGCGCGTTGTGGGTCTCCACGCTCAGATCGAGTACTTCCTGCGCAAGCTAACAGAGGCGATGGGAGGGAGCTGGGTGGAGGAGCGTTTCGAGGACTACAAGATGCAGCTGAACTCCACGCGGCAGTCTGTGAACGCCTGGGGGCTCATCACCCTGGTGGGCTCGGGCCACTTCAGTAAAGGCATGGACCGCCAGACTCTGTCCATGGGCATCAATGAGGTGTACCAGGAGCTCATCCTGGATGTGCTCAAACAGGTGGGCAGCTCACGTGCACATCCTAAACTCTGCGAGTCAGAATCAGTGACTAAATTCAACAGTTTTTCAGCCCTTTTTTTTACACTGAATGAATCCTTTTGAATGATAAACAGTTTGATCTCAGTTATACGGCATTTTAAAAGAAAAAAAAGATGAAAGATGCTAACAGCAATCAGCTAGTCGCAGTTCTTTTATTATTTTTTTTACGGAACAACAGTCATCTGTTGATTCTAAATGAATGACAAAAGTTTGAAGTTAAAGAATATAAATGGATAGTCAAACTGTCCTGATTTGTACCCCCTTTGCTGTCCCCAGGGTTATATGATGAAGAAGGGCCACAAAAGGAAAAACTGGACAGAGCGGTGGTTCATGCTGAAGCCGAATGCCATCTCCTACTATGTGGGCGAGGATCTGGCCGAAAAGAAAGGAGACATCCTGTTAGATGGAAGCTGCACTGTGGAGGCAAGAGGCCGGGGATTTTACTTCTCTATTAGGTCCTTGATAATCGGTGCCAGGCAGCATCACATCATCATTTTAGCAGGCTGATTTACATATGGTCCTTCATGCTGTGACTTCAGGATTTTAGTTTTAAGCTGTTTGTAACCATGAAGTTCTTCTTCTTGCCACGTGTGCAAATGCTGCATTTCAGTACTGATTACTTGCTTCCTTGCCTTTTGCTCACATCAGTGTGTAATGAAGCATAAATTATGTTTTCTACCGCAGCCTTTACCAGATAAAGACGGAAAAAAGTGCCTCTTCATCATCAAGTCGTCACTAAAGAGCTTTGAAATCAGTGCTTCAGACAAGAAGAAGAAGCAGGAGTGGATCCAGGGTGAGTTTGATAGAGATTATTTAAGAACAGAAATAGAAATCTGACCAAATACTTTTAGATTCCATGCCAAGGAAACCTTTTGTTCATGTACATTTTTCAACGAGCAGCCAAAAGGAGATTTATATTAAATAAAGAATGCACGTCTGTGCTGCTTTTGTGGTTCCACACAGCTATTCAGACTTGTGTGAGTCTGCTGCGTCAGGGCCGGCCGGCGCCACACTGCGAAGCCCGGCAGAAACGCCGAGACCTCAGGCTCAAGCAGCAGGCTGAGCAGGAGGAGCTGGAGCTCAGGATGAGAGAGCTGCAGACAGCCAACGAGGTCAAACAGCAGGAGCTGGAGAACGTCAGGAAGGTGAGAGGAAAAGGCATCTCCAGCTTTGTCAGTAATAGTCAGGAAAGCAGTTGATATTTACCATTTTCTTTTTGGTTTAAACCTCTGATTGAAACGGCTGAAATTGCCCCTAGAAAACCCAGAAGTAGACTCAAATCTACATAACACAAACTGGCTTGATGCAAATCTTGAAATGAGGAAGTGAAGAACTATGGTGATAAAAAATGGGTGTATTTGTCCTCATGGGTTAATTATGGCAACAGAAGAGAAACAGAAACTGTAACATAGAGAGCATGAACTCTGCACCCAGGTTCAGTCTAAAAAACCCCAAAAATACATGTTGCTCATAACACATCCCGCAGTTTGACAGGATAAAAAAGGGGAGGTGAGTGTGGCTTTCTGAGATTGGCTCAAGGAAAAAGTAGTACCTGTAAAAGCTGAAAGGACTGTGCATCTGTCTATCAGACAACAAGGATGAAAAAACAAACAAACCAGGAAGCAATTAGCTGTATTACACCAGGTTCATAAAGTATCAGGGGATTTCACCTGGGGAAGTTTCTAAGACTGTGAGATTCCAGATAAACTGTTCAAGAAATTCCTCTTCCAGGATCTCGTGCACTGGATGGCATGTTTTGTTTTAGAGTCGCACAGTCTGACACCTGATTGGTGGATATTTATAATACACAAAAGATTTCTCGTAAAACTGGATCTGGCTCCAGACACTGGTTGAGTCTTTTCTTGACTCCTGCAGTTAGCACCCTTGTGGGGCATAAATTATTTAGCGCCACCTAAACTGGTATTTTAAATTGCATCTAAACACGCTCGTCCAATTATGAAATATCAGGCCTTTCCAAATTGGACTTAAACCCAGAAGATATGCAGTCCTTTTCCTCAAAATGGGCAGAACAGTGGGAAAAGACTGACTGAAATCCCTCTGTTGGTTGTTAATAGCTTCTGGTAGGTATAGTAAATGAAACAGTGTTTGAGGAAACGGCTACTTGCTGCAGATGCTTTCTAAGCACCTCATTCTACAGTTCATAAGTTAAATAGATAGAATGATGCTAAATCCAGCAACGTGAAGAGGAAGCTTTGATTCCACTAATCAGCAAAAAGAGGAAGTGTGAAATGTTAAACCAAGAAGCATGGATGAGAGGCACAGATGTCTTTACTAAATCTTCGGTATTTTCACTTCTGACTCCTGTCGGGGAAATGGCACAAAAGAGAGTTCCAAATGAAGAGAGGGCAGAAAAATGGCCATCCAGAGATTCAGGGTGCAAACTGGTGATGAGGGAGAAGCAGTGAGGAGGTTCCGTTACATACGCAGCACCGCTACATTAAAGCCAGCCCAGCAAAGCGGTTTAACCTGGCGACGTATAGCGTTCCTGAATGATTCAGCCCACATTCCAGGACAAAGGCTTTATCTGCAACATAAACACTTTGAAAGATAGCCAATGCCAACATGACTTTCCCTTCTTATGTTATGTATTGTTACAAACGTGCTTTGTAACTTTCCTTTATTGCTTCTAGGGGAATGTTTTCTTGAGTAAAAAAAAAAGTCTCAAAGTGATTTGGCAACATTCCTCAGAGGTTCCATCACATCTCAAGACAATAAACAAGCATTGTCTTTAACGCCGTCACGTCTGACAACAGGCCCCTGCCTTGTGATGCACTATTAGTTTCAGACACACACACAGTGGTCTTGGTTAAGGTAGGTTACCAAACAGCCCTGGCGGCCTCCCCTGAAACACACTGCTAGCTCGTGAATAGCAACAATAGCTGAGCCTCAACCTCTGTGCTGCGACTAATGAATGCTCTGATCACTCTCTGAAAACGGATATGAGTTAAACATGTTTTTCCTGTCACATTTCCCAAACCTGACTCCCCCCCCACTCGAGTGAACTCTACCGAACTGACAGGAGAAAAAAAAGTCGCTGACCATGCGGATTCTGCTAATTCCACAGAATGTCTGTGGACTCTTTAAAATCTAAAATCCACACAAAACCGAGAGGTCACCAGGAAGTGTACGCCTCAGCATGGTGGCTGAAAGACTTCTTATATTGTATGGGGTTGGTGTCGTTTAATAATCAGCGCTGTAGTCTATAAAAAGTTTGTAGAAGAAGCAGAGGAGAAAATAACTCTATTTCATCAAGGAAACGATGAGTGTGTGTGGTCTGAGAGACACTCCATGTTTGAACAACAGCAACCACACGCTCTACTTTCAATAAAGTCGACTGTTTGGCCATCAAGCCCAACCACGACTCATGGTTATGCTTTGGAAGTCTGAACTCCACTGTACCTGCTGTCTGATCGCATTAAGATCCTGAGAACTGCTCCTGCAAAAGGCACAAGGCTGAGTGAAGGCCCAAGACACACGGGCCGGTTTGATCGAATTCAATCCCAAGGTCTGAGGACCAAATCGCTGAAATGAGCTAACCCGGTTTATGGGCAGCACACACCAGCTGCATTGTGGCGAGCGGAGACGCAGCAACAGTCGGACTAAAATAGTTTGCACTGCAGCTCTAAAGCAGCAGGCACAAGAAGAAAGCCCAGTCTCTGTGTGACAATAATCTCTAGAGGCACAACAATCTACCATTGAGGTGCAAGGGTCCGTCTCACATAGTCGCTGGCCTGAATGCACAATGAGCGTGCATACAGTATACAACACACACACTCACACACACACACTCACACACAGTCACAATGCTTTTTCTGGCAGCATGCCGTTATCAGAGGTTTACTGCTCACAGCTGGGCGCCGTGAGTCAAGAGGTTACTGCTCAGCAGCCTGCAGTACCCGGCTCACCTCCAGATACGTCTCTGGTTTGGTCTCAAAGACTAAACGCGGAGGCAAGTTTTCATTTTTCACCTCTGTGTGAAGGTAGTAATAAATAACCGGAGTACAGTTGCTCCTCTACTGGCCCGCAGCATCTTTCTGGTAATCATGTGAAAAGCCTCTTCTATCAGAAGGGGTCAGCATCCTACTATACAGTGAAAAGTTGAATGTTTTTACAGTTTTATTTGAAATTAATGAAAATGTTACGGTGGATCGTAGTGTTAATTTTGACTCATTCGTTCTCTGGTGGCCCCTAAAACCCAACAGGGGGTTTGTCCGTCTCACTTTGTCCGTCTGCACATTGGCTCATGTGAATTCTAAAATGATGATAGTGCTGATGGGGGGGGAATCTGACAGCGTGGGAAACTGGAAGCGACGGACGAAAGCAGAGGCCAGGGAATGAAGGTTTTAGGTTTTACACATCGGGGCTTCCGTGCCACAACTGCTGACTCAGAATACCAACAGAAAATCTGCTTCAGCTTTTTCTCAGTAACACGGTGTGGTATGTTAGGTTGGTCATAGTGCTGGTCAAAAGGATTTATGACTATAGATAAGACGTGCTCAGTCTCTCTCATCAGAATTCTGTAGATGTAAATATTAGCTTGCATTCAGAGGCAGCGCTCTCAGCTCTGTTTATGTAGGAACAAAGTGCCCCTGGGGATTGGTCAGGAATCCTTTTTAGACAAAATCCACCCATCTTTGATTATCTGTGATTTTTTTTGTTTTTTTAAATTCCCCTGTGGCCAGGCCTTGGAGGACGCGGCAGCCAAAGCAGCAGAAGAAGAAAAAAGGCGTCTTCAGACTCAGACTGAGCTCCAGGACCGCTACAAAACGGACCTGGAGAGGGAAAAGATGGTATGTGGCACTCATGAATCATTGCATCAGAGCAAAGGGTAAGAAGAACAAACCTAATTCAACTTCCTCTTTAGCTCAACTGCAAATGTTTTCATTCAGCAGGTCTGAATGTGACAGGAGGGAAGTTGTATCAAAATTTTAAAGAGGCTTTTTGAACTGAATTGTATTCAAGATTACAGCTCAGAGTTACTGAAGCTGTAACGGATGTCATCACACAACTGAGGGGTGAATGTGGGGAAAGCTATTAGGCTCAGCTAAGACCGACTTCCGTATGTCACTGCCACTGATAAAATCTAGACCCGCCTTGCTCACAGCATGGATGTGGTGTGACGGCAGAAAGATGCCAATCTGCTGATTTCTGATATCAGATTTACGACACAGTTGCTCCAATGGTACACAGCGAGTTGGTTTTATGTTTAAAAACAACTGCAAATCCAGCTTCAAATGTTTAATTTAACGCACATATTCACACGCCTCTAAACGTCACACAAGAGCTAAGTTTACCCCCCCATCATACAGAGGCTGTGCCCCCAGGACTGCTCAATAAACCAGCTCCCCAGAGGAGCGAAACTGAGTTTCTCTCCAAAAATGAGAGAGAGTTTTTGCATTGACAGGTACGGCAGCAGATGGAAGAGCAGGTGGCGCAGAAGTCCACGGAGCTGGAGCAGTATCTGCAGAGGGTCAGAGAGCTGGAGGACATGTACCACCGGCTGGAGGACGCTTTGGAGGACGAGAGGCGGGCCAGGCAGGATGAGGAAACCGTCCGGAAGCTGCAGGCCCGGTCAGTACCGTGTCAGAGAGAAAGGAAAGGACACAGTTGTATATATAATGTATGTGTGTGTATCTATATGTGTGTGCATATGTATATACATATGTATGCATGTATGTATGCATGTGTATATATATGTGTGTGTGTGTGTGTGTACTATTAGCCTCATGAGCTGAGCCTGTTGTTTAAATAGGAGTCTTAATAGCTTCCACACATTCAGCTCACACTCACACAGTCACACCATTTCCTTCTTTATACATCCTTCCTTTTTGCTGACATTAACTTTCCATCTCAGCAGTGTCCAGTGTGTCATTAAGTGTTCTTATCTTGAGATTTACCTGAAACTATTCCCCTGCATTTATTTAGCTTTAAGGGAGAGGTTTAAATGGATTAAAAGTAGACTTTAATGTTTGTTAGCATTAGTTCAATACTGATGGTTTAATTAAACTGAATTACAACATAAATCATTAAAACGGGTCTAAACTTACCACAGACAGAATAGAAAGTTTGGTCTGTCATGTCTGTAGTATCTGCTGGACTTTACTGACTATTTTGCTGAGATGTAGAAACATTTCCTTTGACCCCTGTGGTTTAAAACAGCCCACAATGACACTATAGCTCCACCTGCTGGCTCACTGACAGGTCACTCCCCGATTTAGGCTGAACATTAACAGGAAACATGGGTCACGCCATTTCTTCACTTTGTGGATTTACTATTTAAAATGCACAAATGGTGGATTACACAAGGGGCTCCTGTTTAAAAAAGAAGTAAATGCACGTGTACATATACACGGCTCTCCTCAACTGTAAAGGAGAGGCCTTCCTCTGAAAAACAGACCGCTGTTACATTATGGGATGAATTCACCTGTGTGTGTGTGTGTGTGTGTGTGTGTGTGTGTGTGTGTGTGTGTGTGTGTGTGTGTGTGCGCGCCGCAGCCTGCTGGAAGAAGAAGCCTGTAAGCGAGCGGAGCTGGAGCAGATCCACCTGAAGCAGCAGCGGGCCATCTCAGAAACGGAGGCGGAGAAGCAGGAGCTGGAGAAGCAGCGCCGGGCCAAAGAGAGCGCCCTGCAGGCAGCGATGAGGCAGCTGGAGGACCTGGAGCAGGAGAGGCAGGGCGCCCTGCAGCAGTACCAGGTCCAGCATGGCCACGTTTCCCCCATCCGCATGCATGTAGTTCAGTTTGCTGTCGCACCGAAAGGAGTCAGATCAGTTTGCACCGTTTGACCTGAAATGTAATGGTGTAAGGTTATTAGATCCGATAAAGCTCACAGGCAGAGAGAGCAGTAGGTTTTCTTCTGCTTTTTGATTCCAGCCGGCTCTCATTCAGAAAACAAACTTGGTGAAGTTTCTTAATGAAGTCTTCAGCTTTGGAAAGCAACAATCCGGACTTGATTCTTTCCTTCTGCACGAGGTGGAAGCTTCACCTCAGCTTCCACCTGGCTAAACACAGGGGCATGTTTAAGCTGCAGATGTTGGGTTAGGTCACATCTGTCTGCTTGGGCCCGTCAACAATGGGAGATGTTCTGATGACAGTCATTCAGCCCCGACCACCAACTTCCTGTTCCTGTAGAAAAGGAGCAGCAACACCTTTAACTGCAGGGCAGATGTTTTTATGTATGCACGTATGTGTGTATATTTATATATTTTAGATAATATATTATTCTTTACAAAAGTTTCTAGTGCAAATAAGATTTCTTCAGCATTGGTAGTAGTACCCTTTCTTGCCACACGGTGTCACTATTTAACCACTGCCTGTGAGGTTGTTTCCGGACTTTGATAGGAACAAAAAGAGGGGAATGGTCTTTCTGGATTAACCTTTCTAACCTTAAATCGTCTTAAAAACAATAGCTTTAAACAGAAAAACAATAAAAAATCTAAGCCAAGCGTTCTAATTTTCCCTGTGTGTGAATCAGACGGTGATGAATCGGCTGGAAGCTGCCACCAACAACACCAAGACCTGGAAGCACAAGGTGGCTGAGCACGAGGGGATGCTGAGGCTCATCCAGCCAGGTAACGCTGTCCAGCACCCGTCTCTGCTGGACGCTGGTGGACAATCACACGGCCTGCATTAGAATATCCAGTATTTGTTCTTTATTTATTGTAAATGTTGCCTTTGCTCACACTGCTCACGGAGCTTCTTCAGTTTTCGCTCTTTAATGTTTTGTATCAAATGTATCCCACATTTTTCTCAGATCAGAATGAAATCTATGTTCAAAGGAGATTTTGCATCTCAGGGTTATTTTTTAACGTGTCCACTAGCTGCAGACTTTAATAACTAAGTGACTCATTAAGGAACTCCAAGTATTTCACTGAGTGGATCGACCAGATAATGTCTTGATTAATGTTAGGATTCTACATGTCTGTGCCAACTTCTGACTCAAATGCAACCAAAAAAAGCTTGAGCCTTTCAGCAGAGCCACATTTAAATACCTTTGACATCTAAAATAACCTCTGTGAATGATAAGTAATCCAGAACTTTTCTCTGGCAGGTTCCAAAGGGCAGCAGAAGATCACAAACTGGGGCCCGGCGGCGTTTTCTGATGTTGAGCTGGACCTGAGGGAGAAGAAATGGCAGGAGATGAAGAACCAAGCGGCACAGGCCCAGTAGAGCCTCCACCTCACACTCAGCCTGAAACACGTCACTAATCAGAGGGAAGGAGCCGAGAGGCGCTGCTCTGTCTGCCTCCGATCCAAATAAGAGGTCTACCGGAGCGGAAACACATTTTATATTAACCGGGCATTAAATATGAATTAAAATAGATCAGCATCTTAAACTAGGAACGTGCACTTAAGTAACCCCTTTAATTCGAATACTGTGCAGCAACAATGGGTGGAATGGGACTGAACGGGGACTTGATGATGGACGAGTTTCACAAATTTAGCAAGAAAAGTTCCAACTGTTGTTGCTAAATGTTAATGTAAATGCTAAATTAGCAGAAATCATGAGCTCTTGTATGATTAAGCAGCCACAAAGGAAGTTTAAACCATTCAAACTCCCATTCTGATGGAGGCCTCCACCCCAGCAACAGTATTTACTTCAGTCAGGAGTCAGGATGGTTATTCCAAATACAGTATTTCACAAAACAAACGTCGTAATTAAGCCAACATTTAAAGAAAATTTACCCGTCAAAATCAAAGACCCCACAATGGAGGTGCTCTCTCATTTTGCTTCAGGCAGCCAGAGTTTGACTGCACAGCATTCCAGTTATTACGGCAGAGAGGAGCACAGGAAGAGGAGACGTTAGTAAAAACATTTATAGTGTAGGACCACTAGCCTGCAGGCAACTGAAGTTATCCGTCTACTGAATGTTACTGTATTCTTACTGTAGTTATTTACCATAACATGGTTTCAAATCTATAAGAGATGATCCAAACTAAAATCTTAACAAAACGTTTAAATCTGTTGATTTAAAGAAATGCAGCTTATTTCTAGTTTACTTTAATCTGCCGTCGGATATCACATATGGAGAAATCGAGCTTTTGAAATGATGTTAGAATCACATGACTTTTGAAGGGAAGAATGCGCACATCACTACTTTATCCACCACGTTATTCTGCTTTCTGTTTTGAACTCATTTGTGTATTTTGAACTGGAGTCGAAAAGTTCATCAGAATTTAGAACGGGAAAGTGGAGAAACGAAGAGGTATCACTCTGTGTCACTCTGGAGTTTAACGTGAAAACCTTCATTTTTGTACATTTAAGAGAAATCTACAGTTAATCATTGTGCTAGTTTCTTTATTCCCTTAACAAAGTTGTTATCCAAAAAATGTCTGGTTCACTAAAATGTTCC